TATGTCTGCAAATGCAAGTTGCTAACAAGAACATCTTCTAGTTTCTATATCATCTGGATCCCCCGCTACTCTTCATTCCCCATCTTCTCTTCATCCCTCCCCTCATCTTCCATACTCTTCATCATCTTCTCTTCAATAAATTATCTCGCATCGTCATCTCTCTACATTCAAAATGGCTCCTTCTACGGAAAGCAAAATTAATAACACGCTAAGTTTAATTCAGGAAAATATTAGAACTGTGAAAACTGCAAAAGACAACGTGATCTACTACACAAACAGATTGAGATATGTCTCTAAAAACCGTAAGGCAAAAGCACGTGAGTTTTTAGAGAGGGCCATCTCAGCTTTGGACGACGCGCAGTGGAGTCTTCGATCCAGAATAAGAAACACCGCAAAATTTGATATTGAGAAGCTTATCATACTGGATGTAAGCACCCCTAATCTCTCGCGTGGCTACTTTTAATCTGACTTGAATACAGCCTCATCTGCGACTTCCTGGATCGTATGGCGTCGACCTGGATACATCCAAGTTTTACTCGGTTGTCGATGAGTTGTCCTTCGGCCCTGATAATCCTCCCCCGTCCCTTGCCGACAGCAATTTCAGTAAGTCATGTTCCAGTCATTTTGTGTGTCCATTTGATATCCAATCGCTAACCCGCATCCATCGTAGGCCACATTGCGTAATGGTTTCACGCCTGGATGTGTGTTGGTCGGTAGGTGATACCCTTGATCCTATTATGTCTCGTCTCTATGCCGTCTGACTGATGATTTGTAGAGTTGGTAATGGAATAGGGGGGTGGGATATCTTTCGACCTTGCTGTTTGTACGAGCATCCTTTACCCCATGCTGTCCAATCTGGCTCCTGTGATCATTTCTGTATCTTGGGGCTCTTATAGTTTACTTGACCCGCATGTAACTCGGTGGAAACCAAACATAGCTATTTGACCCGAGAAGGAAGGGAATTAGTATGAGCAAATATGACCGAATTTCGACATTCTACAGTGCCATTACTTTCTACGTGATATATTCAAGGCGATGCGTCGCTCTAAGTGACGATGCCAAATGATTAGACGCATATCGCGCGATATGTCGTAGTATTTCTGGAGTTGACGATCTGCTCTCGAGGCAAGTGCATGTTGAATGCCCTCACTGACTCTATTTGTGCGCATGGTAATTCCCACAACTTGTAATTTATCAATGATGAAAGGCTCATTAGGATTCCTATCGCACCAAACTTGCAACCGAGAATATTCCCAGCTTAACCAATCCTACAACAATTTTGCGACCGAGGTTCCAAGAGACTATTTCCATCCGCCAACGCAAAAGCTTGATTTCGCGGTGAGGGCTGCAAAACAGGTAAGACACCCTTGAACACCGAACTTCCCGCAGCCATACCACGTCCCCCGCGCCTAGGCGATGATGCTGACCGAGGGGCGAATATAGCCGCAGTCTCGCCGAGTCGTCGGGTGTCAAGCGATTGCAACGCGCTGTCGAGACCGACGAACCGCATTCAGATATCCGACACACGATCCAATACATTAAATACACTATCCGACCTACTACTCGCGACAACCCGAGTCCAGATCTATTATGATAAGTTAGCAACCCGAAATTGCCAATTGCCCGCCGAGCATAAGCCAGGAATCTCACGGAACCTCCTACAAGCTCGTGTTTGCCAATAAAACCAGATGATAGGCCAGGATACTTGGTGTATCGCAGATCCGAGGCCAGTTCTTTAGCAGTCGTTTAATTCGAGCCCGACTGACAGTTAGCACACAGGATTTCTTCTAGCCCCGGCGACGGATTCCAGTCTGTACGGCCACGCTACTGGACTACAAACTGAGGATCCAGCATATTTGTGCTGTTCGTGTCTTTCGCGAGATGGATTTCAGATACACTACTGGGTTATGGGTTGGAAATTTCGGATTTCAGACTGTATGACCACGCTATTGGATTGCGGATTGGGGATTCGATATTATCTGTATCTTTCCTGGAATGGATTTCAGACCGTAGTACCACGCTACCGGATTGTAGGTTGAGGCTCCTGCATCTTTGTGCTATCCATGTCCTCGGCGAGATTGAAACCACAGACGTCGTATTAGGGACCGCGAGATATGAGTTCCCCTTGCAAGCCGCTAAAGAGCTACATAGATTGCGCAAGGACAAATAGAAAGATATACCATGGATGCTGTCAATTTACCGTTATCCTGTTAACGTTGCCGCTCTACTGCTCGCAAATATTGGCAAGCCTGCAAATCTAACGCACGAACACAAAGATATTTTGGCAGGTTCGCAGGCTGCATATTTTATCCTCAGGGTATCGGGCATGCGTCAAATACGCATACTTGTATTTCCAATCTGAATTGCTACGAGGAATCCTTTAAGTATTACGCCAATTATGTAGCCGCGATCAAGTCAACTTCGTAAGCACAGGGTCTTGGACGACAATCCTAGGTACTTCGAGAACCTCGCGGCTAAACGGCCAACTGCGATGCGAATTGAGCTAAACTACGATATGACCTAGTACCAGAAATATCATGAGTCAGGTTTGAGAATTGGTTTAATATTTAATATCTAGGTACGGATCGATCAGAAGGGAATGTGAAAACGGAATATGCTTGAGCATGGCATCTACCTTGGGCAATCAACACACGAACTAGTATGAACATAACAGAACGAGAGGAATACTTCAGACGACGAGGACGTCCCAACGTGATACCATACAAGTTTACTACTAAACTCTTGCGCTGTCTAAACTCCTAGACGCACGCCATCTGATCGGCTAGATGGCATGCCCCTTCAGCCGGCGATATCTTCTATCGCACAGCATAGTCTCGTTCTATCAAATTCAGTCGATGACGCAAGGCCTGCGTGCGTCTATTGGATTCGAGATCACACTGTACGTACCACATCATCCCACTATGGTCAAACCAAAACTGGTCCGACTTAGGTTTTTCCTTGGTAACTGCTAGGCGCTGAGGGTCTGTTATAAGAAGGCGTGTTCGACGGTTTTTCCCCTGATCAAGTGGGCTATCTGGCGAACTTAACTTTATCTACGTCAGGCACCTAGAGAATTTAGCGTTCTCAACGAAACAGTCGAAAAGTTTATTTACTTGACGATATTCATACTTTTGTGTAACTTACCTAGTTATTCCGTACAGTCGCAGGTGCGCCAATATTTTGAGTTTTTCTATACTGACAGCAAGTACGAGGTCAGAACCCCCTTTGTTTCCATCTCCCCCAATCCTTTACCTTCTTTTCTTTTCCTCGTTCCTCATCTTCTCTTCTCTTCTTCTTCTTCATCTTCATCTTCATCTCCAATCCGATCACCACCCTCCGTCCGGGGTGGCCGGCACGGAGATAAGTTGGGTTTCGACCCTACTACACCTCTCCACCAACCAGCTCAGTAAGTCCTGGTCAGTATTTGTGTCCCTATGACATGCATGTCTAACCCGCGTCCATTGTAGACTCCCAGGGCTGGTGGGGAGTCGAGTCGCGATACGAGAAGAAACAAGAGTGTAAGTAATCTTGCTTCCTCGTTAGTATATTAATAGACTAACATCACTCTTGCGTCAGGCGTTACTCTCCCCTTGGGAGTACTCTAGACGTTGAGACATCATGGCTGAGCTTCACGACATGGAAATTATTACGATCTACATTATAGCGTGTACACCCGATGGAGGGAGGTTCATTTAAAGGAGGGTTGCGTCTGGTTCTGATTTCTTCTTTCTACTTGGGTAGCATAGAGTAGACCAATAGACGTAAACGTCATCATCATCATCATCTGAGCAACGAATTGCTGTACTGTTTGGTCCTACCTCGTGATAGATTTACTCCGTCGTGTCTGGCTGGCACTTGAGGAATACCTCCAAGTGGTAGGTGATGGTGGATTTGGGGCAGGAAATTTATGTGGCTGGTGTGGCTAGACATATGGTTAGACATGTGGCTTGTGGCTTTATAAGGGCTCCTATCGCGAACCTCACACCTCATAGTAACACCCTGGCGTCTAGACGAGAGCTGTAGTACCTTGAATTCGATGATAGTTGGAGATTGCCTGCTTGCTAGGACCTGCTTCCTCTTCTCGGTTTTGTCGCTGTGAGTTGCTGAATATTTCCCGACGAAGCCTGGGCTGAACTGAACCCTAGGTCATTTTTTGTACGGTCTGTTGTTTCTATTCTTCGCCTGACCTATTGGGGGTACTTTGAAATACCAGCTTGCGACGCGGAAGCAAAATACGTACTAGTCTAGAGAACCCTAAAGGAGAGTTGAGGGAATTCATTATACGAGAGTGGATTGCGCTCATAGTGTTAGGAGAACATGGCAGAATGTTTCATAATATCGACGAAATGAGGGTTTTCTTAGAGCTGATGGCCTTCCTTGCCCATCATCTGTTAGGAAATCATAGATTCCCCTCTGGTAAATCAGTGAAATGAACACGACGGTTACGAATGTCCCTCTATAAAATCCTGCGCTTACCTGCCAAGCAAAACCAAAGCCCTGCCCAGTCGTGTCAAACTGCTCACGAGCAAGTTATTACTTGCAACTGAGCATGTTCTTGCCGCGCTGCTACCGCAAATCAGTCTTACCGGCGCACATCACAACGTGGGCGAAATCGTACCCGCACCTAGCATCCCTGCAAGGTCCGTTGCAGATGTAGGGTAGCTGTTACGCCCACCCCTCCCTAACTCCATTACGTCGCGATTCAAAGTCAATACGCACCGGCGCAAGAATCCACGAGCCTAATACCTGCATTGCGTGTGTATTGATTGGCTGTTTCGTACGGGACCAGCCCGTTATGCGACTAGGGATAACCCTGAACCTTTGCCGTCGATATGGTGGCTTCTGCTAGCCCCTCGTCAGCAAGATGGGACTCGAGCGAGGCGAGAAGACTGTGTTATCACATAAATTGCAGCGGCCTGCAGGAACTATCTTGCAATCACGTCGATTCTTACCTCGCGTCCAAACTGGCTACGTATCTGCTTTGGAATCGGATAGGAAATATGGACCACGGACATATGTCAGGGACGCCATGGCTGGACCAGCCGGTAATGCTTCACTCGTCTCGGGAGGACGCGTGCAAGCTTACACCGGCGCAATGCGAATACCGCGGTGGCTACTGGAGATATTGGTATGTTCCGTATACTTTCGTCACGTATCACGTTTCGATCGGCTAAGCTGAGCTCTCAGGTACCACGCAGATCACGTATATGCTCTCGGGACGGTCTACTTCTTCGTAGCTGTCGTTGGCGTTTGCTTTATCGGATTTTATGGCCAGCGACTTGCTCCCGCGTCTCTTAGGGAAAAGACGTGGTGGCGGAAGCTATTAGCGAGCTTTCGATTTCTATCGTATCGCCGCTATGACGCTTCTGCGATACGATGGCGTACTCCGGCTTTAGGGATCGTCTTCCTTCTGGTTTCCGGCGCCGTTTTCTTCTTGTGTGAGTCCGACTTCGTTATGACGGCCACTATAGGCTTGCAGGCTGATACGTATTCGAGTAGCGATGACGCTGGGTCCAAAACCGTATTACTGGCCGAACACGCGAACGCTTAATTATGGCAGTTCGCCTCCTATCGCGACTAGGACCGGTTGGATGGCTCTGGCCTGCTTACCTTTTATGATGATCCTTCCGACTAAATCCAACCTGATCGCTTCCTTGACCGGGGTTTCTCACGAGCGTCTTATCGTATTTCACAACTGGGTCGGATGGGTTATGTTCGCCCTGGCTCTCGTACATACCTTCCCGTTCGTCGTCTTTCATATCTGGAAAGGGGACATGGTCACCGCGTGGAATACTAGCGTCGTATACTGGACAGGAGTCGTCGCTTTGATCGCGCAAGCCTATCTGCAGGTCTTTTCGCTCCGACTTATTAGGTAGGGATGCTTGTTCTTAACGCTAAATAGTCGAGGCTCATTAGAAATAGGGACCGATTCTACGAATTCTTCAAGTTAACCCATTATCTAGCAGCGGCAGTATTCGTAGTATTCTTCTTTATTCACTGCGACTTCAGGCTGAGTTCCTGGTGAGCTCATCTATGACCGTGGCTTGTTGTTAAAAGCTAATTCCGTTAGGGATTACTTCATCGCGACCGGAGTCCTCTACGCGCTCTCTTTCCTTTACCCCCAAATCCGGACGTATTTCGAATTCGGCGTATCCAATCGTGCTAGCTTCGTTATGGTTTCGGATCTGGCTTTAAAAGTGACGATTCCTATCGATACGACGTGGCGACCGGGTCAGCACATGTTCCTTCGTTTCGTTCATATGGGAATGCACGCCTTCACAGCTCACCCCTTTACCATATGCAGTTTACCCGCCGCGAGAGAGAGTACCGGGCAGTCGAAGCTCATATTTTACGTACAACCTAGAGGCGGGCTCACGGGCCGTCTGGCCAAGGCTGCCGCGTTGCGACCAGGTTTCAGCGTTCCGGTTTTGTTAGATGGGCCGTACGGAGGGGTTCAAGGAAGACCTCTATCCACCTATGATTATAATCTCGTCATTGCCTGCGGCGCCGGTACCGGCCTCTCGCTGCCGTTCGTGCTGGAAAGCCTTCTTCGTTCGGCTTGGAATCGACGCGCCGGCAATAAGAAGCCTTGCACAAAGATGCAAGTCGTCATGGCCACGAGGGATACGCAGCTGCCACGGTGGTACGAGGAGGCGATAGTACAACATCTAGGGGAGAGCGGGATCGACATGGTACCCGAAAACCTCGATATCTCTATATATCAAACTGGGAGGCTCGAGTCTAAGAGCAACAGTACAGTGAAAGACCCCGAGTCGTCTGACGAGAAACTGGACGGAAGCCCCTCAGTAGCAAGTCGCCTGCCTATTAATGTATTTTCTGGGCGCCCGGATATTACGACTATAATACGGGACGCTGCTAGTCAGTCGGGGCTTTCTGTTGGTATCGCTGCTTGTGGTCCTCGGGAAGTCTTGAAAATCGTGCAAGACGAGGCAGCAGCCGCCCAGCTGCGAATCATGAGCTCGAAGTCCGGCGCACGCGAAGTCTACTTGCATTCTGAAATATTCTCGTAAGTTTCCGTTCCTGATGCGTTTACAATCATACCCCGGTACTAATCTACTTGCTTATTTAGGTGGTAATGGAAAATAGGATACATCATAGCCTGGATATTAAGATAGTATTCCGTATTATGTTAAAACGTAAAAAATAACCCAGGACACGCATTTCCCATTTAATCCATCGAATTCATAGGAGTCCAAAATAATAAAACTTCAGCAAGTAGTACGCCACTTGATCAAGCTTCCCATACATGGGTACATCGCTGACAAGTGAGAAAGGGGGTGGGTATAACGATAGCAACACCATCCAGCCCGCTAATCCATGCTCGGGTCCGGGCGGGATGAGAGAGTTTGAGCAGATTTAATCCCATAACTTACCAAAAGCAGTTAGGCAATCATCGTGACGGAAAACCCGACCCACGGTCCTGGATACTTGGTGAGCCTCTAATAATAAAGGACGCGACCTCTGACACCATTGATTATGTGATATACCGAGACAAGTCGTATGAGGAGGAGCACAGAATTCTATGATTCGCCCGTATAACATCGGGCTACTAACACTTAACCATACCGCCCATATGCTTAGAATCGAATTTATAGATACACCTTGATACCTGAGCAAGTATCTATTCGCTCAATTTGGAGACTCCCTAGTAGTCAGGGTATCAGTAGCGTCCGTATTTTCGAAGTCTCTAACAACTCCGGAACATCACCGATATAATCGTTATTTGCTGTATCAAAATAGGTTCGTCTTGTCCCGTACCATAGACAAAATATGTTACCATTCCAGTTGGAATAACGTGTTAGTTCTCATCATATTTATATTAACTAACTTTGAAGTTGCGTTCCCGAGAACTTTACATTGGCGTTTGAGCATTGGCTGTTCATCACGTTCCCGGGAAGCAAAATGGATCACGACGACATGACTATGACGACCCCCGCGGCCATGACCGGTATGTCGATGACAATGACGAGCGGGAGCTCCATGCCGTCGTCCACCGGCGGGATGGATATGGGAACGGACACGGGCGGCTCATCTATAATGATGTCCTCGGCGGAGATGGCGATGGTATTCTTTCAGAGCGCTACAACTCCTCTCTATTCGAGCGCTTGGACCCCCCAGGGACAGGGCTCTTACGCCGGCACCTGCATATTTATAATCGCGCTTGCTGTGCTGCACCGTATTCTAATCGCGCTGAGATCTATCATCTTCGACTCGAATCCGAAACTCCATCGTCACGACAAACCTATTTCGTCTTCTGATTCGGACGATTATCCGGGCAGTAGAGGCGACTTGGAGTTAATGGGTGGTCAATTCAGGACCCAGTGGAATAGTCACCCATTCAAAGTTGCCACCGAGACGTTTCGCGCTTTGCTCGAGGTCGTCATTGGAGGTATCGGATACTTGCTGTAAGTCATCCTTCATACGCTCTAGTTCCGGCCGTTACGTCTAATCACCCTCGCAGTATGTTAGCAGTGATGACTATGAACGTGGGATATTTTCTGTCTGTTCTTGGAGGCATCTTCCTTGGTACCTTCGTCGCTGGTCGGTTTGGTGCTGGCGATAACCATCATTGATCTATTAATACGCAAAAGCTGTGACAGGTCTGAAACTATTTAGTCCCAGGTAAATCTCTAGGTTGGAAGAACATAAAAGGATCAAAGGGGAGTTTAGCATAGGTTTCAATTATAATATAATTTGCCTTCAACGATTACGACTACGCTGGTCCTGAGCGGTTCACTACCTCCTTAACTCGTGCAGTATTTCTTGAACTCCCGCAAATTGAAATTCCTTCATCGTATCTTTCCATAGCTGGTCTCGAATCATCTCCCCGGCTGACGTATATACAAACGCAGCGAATCTATACGGAACCCTATTTAGCCAGGTAACTCTCCACTAATCAGCTATAGAATAACTTACGACGAAGTCTTCCAATTTGCCACCAAGCAACCATGAGACTCCTTTCCTTTGACCACTGTCGCGTCAACGTAGGTAGAAGCGCCCACCGGCACCGATCTCCCCAAGACTGCCTTGTAATAATAAAAGAAAGCAGCAACAATCGGCGGAGCAAAACTCTGTAGTGCCGTATTTTTGACTAACCCTGGATCCACTAGGTTGACGATTACGTGGTCCGCGTTAACATACCGTACAAGATTGACAATAAACAAATGCCCGAGAAGCTTGCTAACAGCATAGCGTTCGATAGGGTTCCACGGTCGAGATGTATCATCGAGAGCAGATAGGACTGTGGTTCCCTGAGGTTCGGAGATCTTAGCACCGCGTGCGGTGCCCGAGTTGACAATAGTAAGTCGACCTGGTTGGCCTGGGGATGATTTGGCCTTTAGGATCGGAAGGAGAAGAATAGCCAGCAGCATAGTAGACAGAAAGTTTACCTGAACTAACCTCTCGTGGCCAGTCATAGGAACTATATCTAATTCGGCCGTCTGCATACCCGCGTTGAGAATAGCAATATCCAAGCGAGGAAGTTCTGAATGAGCTCGGCAAACCAGAGCTCGGATGCTATCGTACGATTCCATCTCGAGAGGCCAGACCCGGATGTTGGCTTCAGGAAACTGAGCGCGTAACTCTGAGGCAACCCCCTCACCCTTTTCGATGGACCGAATAGCAACGATTAATTCCGATAGGCCAAACTCCAAAAGCTGTCGAGACGCCTCAAGTCCGAGTCCACTAGCAGATCCCGTCACGATGGCGACGTTGCCTTCGAGATTGATATTTTTGGGGGGCCATTGAACTTTGGTACAGAACTGCGATTTTAGAAATAGAGACATAGAGCTCTCTTTTAGTAGCCCGAGGTTTAAGGACGCCCACATAGTGGTAGATGACTTTCTGAAATGGAGTTGGATGATGAGCTGAAATAAATAGTAGATTGGTGAAATCCAGAGGCCACTCTTCAGGCCATACATGATCGGGGCAGACGTATATATGTAGTTTTCCATCCACGTATCCTTGAGTTTTGTATCCTTTCCCTTACGATAATCTTCTCTTATCCCTGATGCTGAAGCCATACCTAGCCGTCCTGCTACATCTAGAAATTACCTAGATAGGCAAGTTGTGAATCAGATAGCCCCTATTTGGAATACAATTTAGTCTTGGCATCGTAGTTGTGGACCTACTTCGTCAAGAAAGCGTCCTCGACTTCTTGCGAGTCAGTCATTTTTCAAACCCCTTATACATCAACCTCTATTCTTTACGGACGCTATTCCTAATAACGTTGCTATTCATATCTTGGCTATGCCCTAGGAGAAATATTCTAAAAACCCATTGTCGTATCCGTTTACCTAATAGATCGGTTGCTAAGAGGAACCATGTCGAAATCAAGACCAAGCGGTATTACCACAACTTTCATCATCAATACTCCGGCAGAGCAGTCAATCGAGGAAAATCGAAAGACTATCCGTAGTCACGTCATGCGCGGCAAAAATAGAAAGAAATTACCACCAAGACCACCCTCGTGGATCAACGGCAAGCAACTCCAGGATTTAAATAGAATACGGAACGCTCCCACTGTTCCGCTCACCACCATCTCCGGCGAAATAAGCCCGGCCGTATTTGAGACCATTTGGAAACGTGAGATAACTTTACACTGGTATACTATAATAGAGTGAACGTTTTGTCTAACTACTTGACATTCAGTCAAAGACGCAATGCAGCCTGTTGAACTTAATCTGGTCTCAGACCGTACAAGAGACTCGTGGCTTGAGCCCATATGTAGCGACGCAGCTTGCCTCCACTTCACTATCTTTGTTGCCACGGTATACCAAGATTCCATCCGAGGGCAAAGGGAAACCAATGTAACGGCTCTAGCCCATTTCGTCAAAGCTCTAGGGTTACTCCAGGAACGCTTAGCAAGCTGTGAATATAAACTGTCGACTTCCGACCCGACCATATTAGTAGTTGTGGGCTTTACGATGGTATCGACTGCTATGGACGACCTCGGGGCAGCATCAAGACATATCAAGGGTCTACACCGGATGGTTACGTTACGAGGGGGAATTTCCGCATTTTTTGAGGATAAGCAACTACAGACCAAAATCCTACGGTGAGTCGAATCTCGGTAGCCAAGATTATAAGCGTCGAAAACTGATATAGTATAGAGCTGATCTTAGCGTAGCCCTTGCTACGGGACATCGTCCTCTTTTCTTTTCCAAGGATATCCCGTGGGATTCCTATATATCCTCTCGTAGAAAGACGCTTATCTCCAGGGGCTCAACCCTAGATGTTGCTACCCCCCTTTTAGAAATTCGTCATCTGCTCGGCGACCTAGATACGCGACTGCGCTCCGTATGGGATGATGTTTCTGAAGTTGTAAGGGCTGCAAACGTTGCAATGCAGTGCGGGCTGGCTATGGATGGCGAGTTGTACCAAGAAACCATGGTATCGATACATTACCGTCTGGTGAATCTTTGCTTCGATACGGATAATGCGGACGAGGTTATACGACTCGCCCTATTGGCGCTTTACAGCTCTATCTTTCTTCAATGGCGAGGCACCAAAACTAGATACAAATATTTGACCCAGCGTCTTAAACAGGTCTTGTTCCAGTCAACCGAGACCATACCCGTTCATCTTCTCATTTGGGTATACATAATATACGCTGTTTCGAGTTTCGACCGGGGCGATCAGGTTTGGTTACATTCTTCTCTAGCCCAGGTGCTCCAGAGGACGAATCTTCGGTCGTGGAGTGGGATCAGGGCAATGCTAAAGTCTATCGTATGGCTGGACGCCGTACATGACTCCTTAGCGAAATGTCTCATAGAGAGGATTATGGAGTTAGCATCTTAAGAATGTACTCAACGATAATTTGCTGCTATTTCCAAATGATAGCAAAGCGATTGTGCTAGAGAATGAACAGTTTTAGAAATCTAGCCAGGCCAACCTAGCTTTGTACCTAAATTTACAGCCTGTCACTCCATTAGAAACGCATACAATATAGAGGACTAGAGATATGACTTTCGTATAGTTCGGCGATTAACATGTTGGCCGAGCTAAGATTCAATTTGGAAATCATTAAGAATTTCATAGGATCAACTTACCAATATATTCAGGACAGCCTTGGGCATATAGCTCTTTAATCTACGCTTATATCCGTCAGCAAACTCCAGATCGTAGCCTTTCATATCGTACGAGGAATTTGTAAACTCACCTAGCTAAGAGGTGCCCAGTTAGGGGAATTCCATTATATGAATAAACGTCCAGCCCTGAGTTGATATTCCACGTCTTCGATTTTGCTAAGCTGAAATGTAGTCGGCTTCTCATCGAGTCGATTCGGCGTTAAAGTCAACTAGCTAGTAGTCAACCTAGAACGACTATATTGATAATTCTATACGTACGGCTTCTTGCAAATACATTGCTCGTGTTGATACAGTATCTCGTATGCCAATTTCTATACCCAACAGCCCTTGCAGCGTCGCAGCCAAACACCCCAACACGTCCCAGCACCGAATACGGGGTTTTCTCCACCCGGAGATAAATCCTCATTTAGGAAATACCAAGGAATCAAATTAAAAGGCCAATCGCATATAAAACCACGTACAGCGCAGATGCTTGATCGGAAAGCTTCAGCAGTTGGTTTGCGGAGGACCAGGAGCATTGTCTAGTTTGTTACGATGAGGGTTACAGAGATTCTACTAGCTGTAGCTAGTCTAACCGCGACGACGACTTCCCACATCCTAAAGCCTATATATGGCAGGCAGGATTCGATTTTGGAGGTTACCCTGACACCTTCGCCGACGGGCGAGGCTGCTGAATTGATCGCCACTATTCAAAACGTCGGTTCCGAGGATCTTAATCTGCTACGACTTGGTACTATTCTCGACGAAGTATTGCCGGTTCAAAAAATCTCCGTCGTAGATGAATCAGGTACCTCGGCCTAGAAATCCAGGGTGGTGAAGTATAAGCGATACTAATGGTGATAATTCAGGCGTAGAGGCTCCTTTCAGGGGGATCCACGCGAGTATTCGGCACGATGCTCTTACAGCCAAGAACTTCCGTCTACTAAAGGCGTCTGAATCTTTCGACACGGTTATCAAAGCTGCTACCGTACACAAGTTCGAAAAATCCGGGACATATACGTTCAGGGCCGTGGGAATAATCCCGGTAGCAGCGGCTGGGTCTACTGAGCTGTCCGGCCCGGCGATATCGATCTGTTCTAACAGTATAAGTCTCCACGTCGATGCTCAAAGTGCCGCGGCCGTCCCTAAACTTCTGAGTTTGAATCCGCTCGAGGGACGCACGAATGTAGCAGACGGCTGCAACGCCACACAGCTAGCCGCCAGTACCGCAGCCCTCGACAACTGCAAAACCTTAGCTCTAGCAGCCGCAGCTGATGCCGCAGACACGTCATCCTCTCGATTTGTCGAGTATTTCAAGACTAACTCATCGACGACGCGGCAGACTGTCGCGGACAGGCTAACGGCGGCAGCAAAAGAGTGTTCGACGACTAATTCGGGGCTGTCGCGATATTTCTGCTACGATTACTACGGCATATGCGAGACGGAGGGACCGTTGAACGCATACACCAAGTGGGATTTTGATTTCGTCGTCATGTGCCCGCTGTTCTACGATACGCTTCCCGCGCTGCCCCAAGGCTGCCATCGCCAGTGCCAGGCTACGACCACGATACACGAGATGACGCACTGCGAAGACGTATATAGCCCGCACACGAACGACTTCGTATACGGGTATAACGAGAGCGTGGCGTTATCGCCCGAAGAGGCGCTGCTTAACGCAGACAATTACTCGCTTTATGCCAATGGTAAGACACTATACTTGTTAAGGGGCGAGTGATCGATGCTGACGTATTGAAGCTGTATATTTGAAGTGTTAAATCAACTGTTAGTCATTTTACAGCTTTGATCAATTAAAATTACAAATTAGTTTAATCTGAGCAAGACCTTGAACTTGACGGCTCCGATGATAGTAGCTATGTTATTGCCATCTGGGGCATTTCCCGACGGGATTAACAATTCACTCGCTCTTAGAAGACGTAAGAATAGGTAAGTTATAGTCACATGGAACATAACCCCTGAGACGAGAGGAAGTTGTGCTCTATGTCGCCGATTCCATCTATAGCCGGTTCTGCCTAATCGTAAATGATATACTCATGAGAGGCTGTCTATGTCGACATAGACGAATATAGGATGGTCGCTAGATGATGCGCGGTTACTCTCAAGTAGCTGCTCGGACCGATCAGATGTCTATTCCGACTCTGCTGGGCAGCAGAAAATTCTGATGATGGATGCTTTAATCGCATTCACTAATGGCAATCCTCTGTCGGCTCGGGTACTGACATAAGGAAAATCCAGATTAATCTTCCCGTCGGTCTCGGACAAGTATCTGTAACAAAGATTTAGTAAACCGCCCCGCGTCTTTACGAGATGCAGCCGTGACGAAATGAAGGGATGTCATAGCTACAAGAGGCGTTGCAGCTGATAAAGCTCGCAGGGGATTAGAATTGTCCGGATCTACTGTCTCGTGAAATGGGGTGATCGGAGAGCTAGAAAAACAAGATATTTCGCGTAAAGGGGCAATATACGCTATTCATATACGGAAACATTGCGGTAGCTAGTGGATAAGGTCGATACTTCTCTCGTATTAGCACGTGGTAGGCGGGAAAATAGACAACAGGACAAGATATACCTATGGAAAATCAGAAGGTGGTATGATCATACGGCACACATGTCGCTGAGCTGTCTGAGCGACGGGAACAGTTTAGCCTCTTGCCGGAAGGGAGAGTTTTACTTGTGGTAGAATTGAACATTAAGATATTCGTGGAGGAGGCTGAAGTATTCCGCAAGAGACGCAGTTTACGCCTCGCGACACGAATGCCAACGCACATCCCGGACATCGTGAGAGGGTACGAGACTTGAAGTTGCGATCTAGATATTGCTCTCCGGCTAGAGCGTAATACGATGGATTAGCAGAAGGATACGGTGAGAAGCGGTAGCAATGAAGATATCGAGATTGTTGGACGGCGTGGTTTCTGCAATCACGATGACACGTCTCAAGAAAATTCTAAGAGGTACCCAGCAGGGAAATCCAAAGCATACCAAGACGAATCCCGATGGCAGACTTATAAGAATAGGCACCCGTAATCGTATTGTTCGAGGTTACGATAATTTTTGGTGTTTTGAAAACAGAAGATCCCGCCGCTCGGGCAACTAATTGTTCAATAGGCAACTTATGCCTTTGAAAACGCATTGGTCAACTCCGGTACTCAGACAAACCGTAGGTCAATCCAGACGCATCGTTAACGATATTTCATGAGTAACATATAATACACAAAGCACCTTAACCTATAATCTAAGGCGGCCTACTCTTCGGCTTCTTGAGCCTCTTCGTCGGAAGAACCCTCCTCGAGGGACTCCTCGCTGTCGGAATTATCTATCGTCGTATCCATACTCCTTCTAGTTAAATTCGGAAACATTAGCTGCCGGAGCTCATCCTCATCTAATACGTCTTCCGGCGGAGCGTCGCTCAGATCGCTCTCGTCGTCGGCGGAATCGTGAACGCTTCCGGGTGCCGAGCTCAAGTCGCCCTCGACCTCTTCGTCCTTCATCTCTACGTCCTCATCTAGTGCGCCGTCGTCACTTCTCGAGTCGTCGGCTACGTCGTGTTTCTCTTCCTCTGCCGCGGGTGTCTTGCTACTCGAGACGGAACCTCGCGATTTGGTACCGGTGGGCTTCGGACCTTCTTGGGCACGTACGACTGCTTGTTCTGCCTTGCGTAAAATATCAGCCCTTCTGATTCCCACTTTGCGAGGTCTTTGCGGCCCTTCCGTGTTCGCCGATGTCAAATCCCCGGCCGCGCCCTCTCCGCCCGAGTTCTCGTGCGATTGCGGGTTCAAGAGGTTGCTTAACGAATTCGTCGGCTTGGATTCTACTATTTTATCAGACGGCCGAGATTCTTCCCGTAGACGTGCCTGTTCCCGCTCCGCGATTAAAGCAGACACGGCAGGGCCTGGTAAGTTTTTCCCGATATCGAAATACAACGCCGTATAGCAGTCGTTAACTAGGTCGTCGATGGCACCGGCCTTCATCAAGCCCGCGTTAAGCTTTTTCAGTTCTATCGTCTCTTGCAGAGCGCTAAGCGCGGGGTGAGAGGAGGACGGATCCGATGACCATTCGCTAATCCTAGAGGTAATAATATCGAATTCGTCGGGGCTGACGGGCTTGAAATCATCCTCGAGGACTGGGGAGATCTGGTACGTCTGCCGAATAAGTCGCAGATACGCGATGCAGCAAGTCTGCCAGAGATCGTTGAAATGATAAAAGTCTGCCCCCTTCTTGCGTAAACGGCGAAGCAAGGCCTCAAAGTTCGTCCTGTCCTTTAGGACGACTAAGAGCTTGACGGCAAACCGAACGTATTGCTCCGTGTAAACGTGATGCCGACCTGGCCGCTCCGCGTCGCACTTCCATACGTTCATGACCATGGTCTTGGTGAGCATCGACTCCCTTAGCACGCCGAAGGCGGCCATCGCCTGGACGTAGCCCTGCTCTTCGGAGTTCTCGTCGAACAATATTCGGGCGTGGCGCATGATGATGCGATGTTGCCAATTTGATCTGTCTTTCTCTCGCAAGTGGGTTAGCGTCTTGATCACGTACGGCTCCCAGTCTTCCGGCTCCGCGATCTCGACGCGTTCCCCATCCTGGACGGCGTACGGCTGGCGTTGAAGCACGTCGGCTGCTTCTTGCGGCGTTATATCTCCTCGCATCACCAGCTTGTGCATGATCGACACGATTTTGTAATGGGGCTCCAGAATCGGATCTTGGCCGTGGCGCGGCTTCGGCAGCGCGGACACGACCTCGATGGCTTTTTCGAGAGCGTCTATGACGGCTTGCATAGTAGGCCGATCTCGTCTGTCCCTGTGGTCGAGCGACGTTGGGGGTTTCTGATACATCTTCCAGATGCACTTGGCCACCATGTATGGATTTCTGCAAGTATTAGCCCAGCATCTATCCGACGGTCGAGATATACTTACTGCCACTGTTTCGGTCTGACCTCCATGGCTTTGGCGAATAATCTAGCTGCGTACTTCCATACCTTGTAGTCTTCCATCTGGGAATGAAGATCCTTGGACTCTACGCCGGATTCGAGAATAACGAATCTTTTGTGCTCGGAGTGGTGGAAGGGCTCCATCGCGAACGGTTCTCTGCTGGACGCGTACATGCGCATGCCGAATTTATGATAAAGGTCGTGTATGTCGTCGGAACGTTCCCTGAGCGCGTCGGGCGGCGTGTTCCGGGACTGCGATAACGCCAGAGTATAGCAGTGGATCGCGCTGCGCTGGTATTTAACCAGTTCTGCCCTCTCCTTGTTCATCTTATCTGCCGTCCAGAGCACGGATTCGTCGAGCTCGTAGTCGAAACACTCCGCAAGCCTGAACCAAGCATCCCATTGGTCGGGTGTGAACTGTAGCTGCTGGCGTAGAAACGTGGCGCCGATGCGAAGGTCGTCAGTAGCGCCTGGCGTCTGCCTCCTATTGAGATCTACGCCTTTGAACTTAGTGAAGGCGATCATGCCCAAGAGGAAGAACCATCCGTGCTTGGCCAAGGCGCTATCCGGAGTGTTGACGGTAACGGCGTCGATGGAAATGTTACCCTTGAGCGCTTCGTACAAGCGAAGGGGCGGGATAGGTCTTTGTAAAGTCTGGTTGAAGATCCTGAGGTTTTGTATGAATTGCTGGTTCGACTTGGTCTGCCCTATGGCTTGCTGCATGTGCTCTATCGTGGTTTTGAGATCCGATTTCAGCAGATCTTTCATCGGCATGCGGTTAGCCAAGACGGATACCCTCTCGACCAGGGCCGTCGTATTTCGCCGTTCGAGCTTCTCGGGGGGGCATCCGTGGTCTTGCACTTCGCTAAGACCTACCCCGAGTTTTAAGCCGTAGAGATCGTAAAGAACCTGTCCGAGATAATCCTCCCAGTTGTCTATGAGATTTTGCTTCAAGAGCTCTACCCGCATCATCTTGAGGAAGATCTTGTTGGACGCCTTGCAGAATTTTCTGAGGCCCAAGACCTGATGGATAGCCGCTAGATAATCCGCGAGGTCGTTATCGGGTGTGGTAAAGCCCGCCCTGTTCTGCGCAATGCCGGCCTTCAGCATCGTATACAGAAGAGACCAATTCCTAACCTGCATCTCGCGAAGTTTGGTTAAGAAAGACTGGAAAGTGGCGCCGCTCGAAAGGTGCTGCTTCATGCCTACGCGCACTTCGTCTTCGTACATGCAAGTTACGTGTAGCAAGCAGGAAAGCTTCGTCAAAGCGGAAATGCTGGATCTTAGGTGCTCCTCGTCTACGATATCGAACGCTTTGACATCGTTAAGCGCCATCGAAAGCGCCTGGATGAGCAATTCGTCTAGAAACCTAAGCATATTCAAGAAGAGAGGACGACGCGCGTCGGCAGGCATGGTCAGATAAGAATCCTGCTCGAAATCGGCGACGACCATCTCGATACTTTTGAGAAGGCACGAAAATTGTTTCGTAGTGTAGTCGATGGCGTTGTAGGCTTCTCCGAGGCGTGTCCATAAGAACAATCTTAATTCGGTGCTCGCCCCCAGCAAAAATTTCCAGAGATCGCGCAGGCCCTGATCCGCAGCCTCCGAGATGGGCAGGTTTTTGCCGGTAGCTGCCGGCGCGTCGGAATCTTCGTCGACCACCATAGCTTCGGGGTCGTTCGTTGCTATATAGACGGAAGAGGGATTCAATACGGGTTCTAGGCTTTCGATGATAGATACGGGGTCGCTAAGGTCGTTCTGGAATAGCCCGAGGAAGAAATCCATAGTCGTCAGTTTAGATATTTCCCTATCGGCTGCGCGGGCGGAGACTTCCGGCATGATCGCATTGTTTGGCAGTCGGATATCGAGAGGGTCGTCCTCCTCGCTGATCCTATCGCGGAGGCTCTTCCAGCACTGAAGAACGTGGTCTCTCGATACGCCTTCCGTCAGGGTAACGGCGAAAACGGCGGACCATAAGAATCGGATGGACAGCAGACGGTCTGCACCCTCGGGGCGATCTCGACTCATCTGCGAAGCGAACGTGAACCAGCGTCCTAGCCTTCCTTTGGTCTCCACGCGAATCGCGTATTCTACGGCGCTATTGGGGTTGGTGATCCGTTCGTATACGTCTAGGTGCAGCTCGAACAACATTTGAACTATGCCATCGATCGTGGCCAACGTCGCGGCCGGATCTTCAGACGCGGCGTGATATCTCAGCTCGTACTGCACGCGTCTCCAGATATCTTCGTCGAGATGGCTAATCACTTGAACAACAGCAGTCTTCATGGAATCCGGCCACTTGCTCGTAAGGTAAGTCGCGCAGACGTGCTTGACCCACTCGAAAGCCACATCTTGGATTCCTATCCAGTTGTCGTTGATAGTTTGGACGAAGGCCTTTAAGCCCTTGGTCTCGTGGAACGCGGGAGTCTCGCGCTTATTCTGAGATCCGGGCTTCGAGTGCTCCAGGAAAGACGAGAAACCGACGGTAGACGCCTCCTTTTTATTGAAAACCACTCTGGTACTCTCCTCGTCAAATTTCACGAGCGAGTCGCGCAGATCGACCATGGCCGACCGTTCGAGCTTAGCAGTTCGAGTAGAAGACGCGCACGAGTCGAGAATCTCGGCCAGTCGATCGAGGGTGTCGCGGTCGGTGACTCCCAAGTTCTCTATCATATTGCGTGTCATCTGAAAGAGATTCTGGTCGGCCGCCTGGAACGGCTGCAATTGGGTGGCGTACTGGGTGTTTGTATCCATAACTTCTCCAGCAGTTTCCCGGCGTCGAATGCGCTTGCTCCTCTTCTGATCCAAGACCTCTTCGTCAACCCCGTCGGGAAACCCTGCTGTAGACTGAGAGCGTTTCCGCGAAGGCAGAGAGGTGCTACGTTCGGCCCGCGCATCTTCGATAGCGATACCATTGTCAGCAACGCCTTCCTTTGGAGATTCGCTCTGGTCATCCTTGGATTGCGTTGGAGGTTTGTTCTCCGAAGCCGGCTGGACCCTTCCGCTATTCTCGGGCAATATCTGGTTTGGCCTATTGCTAGCCGTCTCGACGTCGTCTTCGGTATCTGGTATCTCGGGAAGGTTCAGAGTTACGGCCTTTCCAGGTATACCACCAGTTGCGACTAGCTGCACAAGCGACATGCCCAAATCCGTCCACGAGGCTACGGGGACATCGATAATAAGGCGCTGGGACTTTTGGTGATCCGCCGAGGATGCGAGGGTAGGAGGCGGCGCGAGCGAGTCGGTCGGGTTCGGAAGGAATGGAAAAGGGTCGAGATGTTTCTTGAGACGATCCGATATCGATTTCTTTAGGAACGGAGCCATGATCGGGTGCGACAGCGCCAAATCGTCGGACAAGACGTCAAGTTGTTTCTTCAATTGTTCGCCGGCGAATCCCTCGGCTAGAGAGGGCGGCTCGACTTCCTCTACCGCCGGATCATCGTCAAGTTCGATGGCAGCCTCGAGACAGTATCGGCTGATTCTAGCGCTATTCAGAAATGCGGCGACGCGCGCGGCCCTCCTCCATAGTTCGGCATCTGACGGGTCAAAATCTAGAGCTGTACTAAATTCGTAAAGCGCCTTCTGAGCGGCAGCGAGTACCTTTTTATCTTTTAATACGGATCTTACATCTCCTCCCGCCTTGACTAGATGTCTAATATTGTCTAGGGCAAACTGGCCATGATTCTTATAAGCGAGATAGAGCGTCTGGGGCAAGCTACTGCCACTGCCGTCTATATCCCCTTGGGAGACGTCGAGAGGTTGAGGGAACGGGACGTCGAGGCCTAGGTGCCGGGGATCTGATTGACGTTCGGCGCGCTCGAAGTCGGTGGTGCTCTCGGGGTATCGGAATATGTCAGACTCGAATAGCAACTCGTAGGCTGACGACGCTTCTTCGTAATGTTTAGGGCCCTGAGCGTGAAGTTTGAGGGCGGTCTGAAAGCGCTTCAGGGCTTCGTCAATCTGGATTTCGCGGGTATCGTCGATCTCCTCGTCGATATTCTCCTCTGGTTCGACATTGATGGCGGAGAAGGCCATCTTGCGAACTTGCGCCTATCGCGCTGATGGAATTAGTAGCAATATCGCATACGGAATTTAGTATGTAGCTACTTGGTTGCAAATGTTGAAATTGATACAAATGGAGTTGAGAATACAATTGTTGATCGTAGTCTGTTATCGTTATCGATGGGAATAAAATTGGGAAATACGAATAGGTAAGGTACCGAAGAAATAGTGATGATGCACAAATCGCGTGGAAATGTACAAGAGACGCGAATCGTGCATCCATTAATTATGTCGCCGGGGGAGCAGGGGAGCTGCATAAGCTAAATCCACTAATACAGCTTAGGTATAGCTACAGATGTACCTATGACAAGTCGCAAGTACCCCACTGTGCAAAGCCCAGCATAGCGGTACAATACCCTTACATCTTTTAGTTGGAAAGTACCCCCTAATTACCCCGCTGTATCAAGATATCCAAGTCCCAAAGGCAAAAAGAAAAGACACCTTGACACACCTCCGATGGCTCGTGCGCCAAACCTTCAAAAAAGTTAGGAAATCCAGCACTCCAAAAAACAAGCTCCCCATTCGGACCTGTCAACTATCACAGGCCATATCGCATCATACATATCCGTATACGTACGGACTTGGGCAGCTCGCCTCGCCATCTTTCCAATTGCAACGTCTTTCAAATTGTGACCCCATTCGCTCTTTTTAATCCTCGCTGTATAATATTATGTTCCTACGAATCGAATCTGGTCGTTCCTGATATATCAGACACTCCATAACATCGAGAGCAGTGATTGGCGTCTCCTCACAACGGTACCGTGCCCTTCGACATCAGCTTCTGCTACCGTCGATATGCCTCCGCCGGCGGTTCCAGAGTAAGCCACTTCCAATTAATACTCGTTTTATTTTCCAATTGCATTCTCGGCGCTGATAGTCGCTATAGGATTTCGGAAGAGGTCCTACACGAATCAATCGAGGCCCGTACCGAGACCTTGGTGTCATTGCGTGAGCTTGGCCCTCCCGACCTGGTCCACCTCCTGAAACAAAACCTCAGAAACACCGTAAAACAGGTACGTCGATTGATCAACTTCCCGAGCATCGGTGCTAAATTTGTTGGCGCAGACGGGAGTATATCACCATGTTACCGGCGTCGATGCGTCCTCGTCGGCTAGTCTCGCCGCTTATATAAACACTCTCACGTACAAGGAGCATGGTCAAGTTGCCACGCACAAGATCGTAGAAGGTCTATACTGCTGTTACAACGCGTTCTCCCGGCTTGACATGCGCGTTCACGTTACGATTCCCGGAACAGTCGAGGCCTACTGCGTCGACGAGAGGGGAGAGAAACGAAAGGCTACGGACGAATTATGGCTGGAAACATATCTCTGCAGCGTTCTGCGAGCCTATTCGTACGCTGACGACGGGAGCGGCGACACCATTAGAAAGATCATGGGCGTGAGACGCTTTAACCCCGTTACCAACACCGAGACGGAACACAGATTTCTGAGCGCTGCCGAGAGCCTCTTTTTTAGAGGTACGCAAACCCACGATATATTAAAATTCAGATGCTTACCCTTGACTCCTTGCAGGTTGGCAGCTAGGCTCCGATTCCGTCGTCCAAGTTCCGAACAACGTATCGAATCACTTGACCACCGGTCTTCTCAAATATTTCTATACGACCGGACGCTTCACCTCTGGCATCAATCTCTTCGAGAAGCTGAGAAGTCAGAATGTCGAGGTGTCGTCGTTACTTGCAAAAGTTCTCTTCATGGGTAACGAGGAAGTACAAGGCGTGCGCATATTATACCAAGCTCTCAAGGACTCTCCTATGGATTATGTCATGTTGGATACCCAAGCCGAATTTCTCCTCAAGAAAGCGTCGGCGGCCGAAACCCCGGCGCAAAAAGAGGAAAGACTGAAGATGGCGCTGGGTTGCGCAGACCGCAGCACGATCGCTGCGCCCAGCGAATTCGGCACGTGGGCGAGGTTGGCGCAGGTTTACGTTGCTATGGAAGACTGGGAGAACGCGCTCACGATCTTGAACTCGTGCCCTATGTTCACTTACCAGGACAAGGACGCGCCGGTCATGCCAGAGCCGAAGGACGTCTACCTTCCCACTTTACCGGAAACGCGTTTAGAAGAAATCGACAGCGAGCCGGAGTCCAGATACGCCGAACAGGTAGACCCAAGCCTGCTTAACCTCCGCGCCGCGTCGTATCGCGGTACTTTCAAATTAGCCTACGGGATTCTCACCGAGATGACGGCAAAGATCGGCTGGGACCAACTCCTTAAGATACGGAGTAACGTTTTTGTGATGGAGGACGAGTACCGAACAGAAAAGCAGGATAGCGTCCCGCAGGCCCAGTCGACCAAACGCAATCCGAGTATCGACGGGTTACGCGGAACCCCAGAGCCCACGACCAACGGTGACCAGACCGACGACGAGGCCGACGACGAGAAGAGCGCAACCGATACCGACTCCGTACCGCCCACTTTAACCAATGGCCACGGCGAAGGGGCCGGAGTGGAGAAGCCGACTCATACCATCGACCCCGGCGAGGTTAAGGCTGACGGAGATAACGTGAGTAACTTTCTTCGGCTTTCAGTGGGGCTAGTATTGACACATCTACAGAGCGCAGCCACCGACGAGCATCTCTCGCGCTTGAATAATAAGCGCCTATGCGAAAGATGGCTCGACAGCCTCTTTATGGTACTATACGAAGATCTCCGCGTATACACGATATGGAGAACGCAGATGGCCCAATACAGAGCTCAGTCGATGCAATACAAGAAATCCGCCGAGGAGTGGGAGATTCTAGGTGCCCTAGCAGAGCGCCTCCAGCACCACGACGAAGCAGTCGAGGCCTACCGGGCGTGTCTCGCCGCGCGATTCAGCCCGAAAGCGTTATCGGGAATCCTTCGGGCGTTCGAGAAGCAGAAGCTAACAAGAGATACCGTAGCTGCCGTTATCCGCCTAGTGACTTGGCAATATCGTTGGTACTCGGAATTTTCTCCGGACCTTCTCCATACGATAAGAGTCTTGATCGAGGAAGAGGGCGCCGTCAAGGTTCGGTCGATCATTCAGGCGACGAGCCTCCCGCAAAATGTGCTGGATCTGACTCACCATTATGCCGCATTATGCGCCACGTTTAGAAGCAGTGGCACAGACGGTTAACGAACTTTTGGCGTGAGGATTGAAAATACTTAAGGACGAAGTAATGCCTCAACATGATATCCATCTATTCGCGTTTCATCAGTGTAAAACATAGACTATTAATATATGATGCCCATCTTAGCTGCCAGGGATTAGCGTCGCCAGGATTCCTTAGTCCTTTTCTTGGAGGTAGTGGCTGAAGATGTTGATCAAGTATTTAACTCGGTAAGCGACTTTCAACTTCGTATATCCATCCACTGGCATTCTCATCTTTCATATTGTCGAGCAGTAAACTAAGCATCAAACCTCGCTATAGTGATATGCAAGGTAGGTATAAATTTCATTGTCACATGAATATCGCGAATAATGTAGCTCTACATACGAAAGCATCAAAGAAACAAATATCCTCCAAAGCATGCATGATGATTATGGTACCTAGGTACGTTAGTCTATTACTATGATGCGATGATTTTGATACGGTATCTCGGCACCTTAGTTATTGCCTATTCACCTCAAATAACCTAGGTTGCCCATTTCTACTCGTACACGTAGCTCTGATCATGTCATTATAGCCTCATATCGCTATATGAGAGCAGCTAATGCGCATCCCTACGGGAACTTGGTCTTTGCATTATCTTATCAATCTAATCAGATCCGGATCAAAATCGCATGACGCAAATAATTCAACATCGCCATATCACTTGAAGTACTAAGGAGTAACCACGATGAGTGGTAGTTCAAATCTCGATGTTATGCTCGTAAGTCTTTCTCATTTCCACAAGTTCACTCAATTACAAAATTCCCAAGTCCCCTTCCAAATAATCCGTTATAAAACATCGAGAAACCAAGTGATATTCTAACCATGTTTTTCTCCGATTTCTAGGCGGGCGGCGGGGCAGCTCTCGTCGTAGATTTGATTATCTATCCGTTGGATACCTTGAAAACCCGCCAGCAAAGTCGAGATTTCGTCAAGACATTTGCCGACCCGTCTACCAAGACTAAGTTACCCTCGCGGCAGCTCTTCAAGGGCTTATATCAGGGTATCGGGATAGTCATAGTCGCCACTTTACCCGCCGCGGGGACTTTCTTCACGACCTACGAAGCGGCCAAGTCGTTCATCAGCCGTCACGGGTCCCCCTTAGGTCTCCCGCCACCTTTGGTGCATTCAGGCGCATCGGCCATAGCGGAGTGTGCGTCGTGCTTAGTCCTTACTCCCTCCGAGGTCGTCAAGCAGAACGCTCAGATGTTGCAGCAAAAATCCGGCAGCTCGCACAGGTCTGCGTCGCTTCAAGCCTTAAGACAGCTAACCGCAAGCGGCACGGGTGTGGGACGCAAGCTGCTATCGGGATACACCGCTCTAGTAGCCCGGAATCTACCTTTTACAGCTATTCAGTTTCCCATTTTTGAATATCTGCGTGCCAGGATCTGGGGCTGGCGATCTCGTGCAAGCCAATCTAAGGCGGGGTCCGGCGCGGGTGCGGGAGAAATCCAGACTTTATTTGAGACTGGCGTTATCACGGGGGCGAGTGCCGGGTTGGCGGGTAGCTTGGCTGCTATTGTCACGACTCCTATGGATGTGGTGAAGACGCGGATGATGCTTGCAGCCGGGAGCAGCCAGGATCTAGACCAAGGTGTTCGTGACCGGAGACATACGTCGCAGGGTGTAACTAGATACAAGGCACGAGGCGGACTCGCCGTAGCACGCGAAGTTGTTTCGGAGACGGGTATCTCGGGGTTGTTCAGGGGTTCCGTTCTTCGCGCCGTATGGACTCTCGTCGGTAGCGGGCTTTACTTAGGCACATACGAAGTAGCAAAAGTTTGGCTCTCGAGAGGAAAGGGGCAAAGTAGCGAAGATAATGCCTTTATTTAATGAGTACCGACCCGCGTTTATAGACCCTATAATTCCTTGCAGCCAATTCCAAATCCTATCCCTCGTGTCCTGTCCTATTCTGTCCTGTCCTAAAATCCTGAAATCCCCGAGCAATCGACACTGATGAGAAGCTGATATGACGAAAATAAAAACATAGAGCAAGAAAACTATCTAAGAGAAACCCTATCCGTTCGAGGAGACTAATGTATCTCTCATCCCGAAGTATACACCATCCTAAAAAGTCCAGCCGGATCGCCAGTACTTGCAATCCGAGGCTGGCAGAAACTAACACTCTCGAGTACGACCTCGTTTCCGGCATTATCGTAGCCGCAGCTAACGTCGCCTTTCCAGCAGTCGTACTGCGGCGTGAAGGCGTAGAATGCTATGGTTCCCGCCTCTTGCCTTCCCGCCTCCGACGAAGCCGTGATGTTGCTTTGCGTAAGAGTTGTCCCGGTCTCATCCATCCAGCCCTGCGCAATGTTGAAACTTATGCCGGCAGAAACCTTGGAATCTATAATAAAATCGACACCAGCATCTATCTTGACCTGAGTGGGAAATTCCGCGTTAGCAAAATCAATATCGTCTGAGCGGTGATGGTTAGATATGCGGGTTATGAACATACGTCAACTCCTTCCTCGGTAGTCCAAGAATACGACTGAAAATGCGACACGGCCGTGCTGACCATCTTACTCAGGGTTATGGAGTGAGTGCAAGTCGGCGGGGCCTCGCATGTCTGTGGCCTGGTGACGGCTATTTGTTGGCCGTCTTCGATGGTGGGTGTAGCATCGTAAGACTTGATTGTGCAGTTCGGGGCGTCGCCACTGACGCTCTCGGCAGGGCTCTGATATTGAACTTCGATCTCCGCAATAGCGCAGTCGTCGCGGCCGCAGCAGAAGCTGGTAATCAAGTCGACGTTTGGCTTTTGCCGTTAGCAATACATCCCAATAACTAGATTCGGTGTACGCTATAACCTCCTGACTTACACTTAGAGCCGTATAGTAGCAGCCCTCGTCGGCCACTCTTAACATCACATCCCCGGGCAGCTGGCTGAGAGACTGCCATTCCCTCGGAGTATCCCTCATCAGTATAAACTGACAAGTCGGGTCCGGCTGTTCCACTTTCCAATACACGAACTGAGTCCCTGCGTCCTGTTCGAAATCGCCGGTTGCTGGCGCGGCTGGGAATGTTATATTGTTGTAGGCGCGACCGCCGTCGAAATCCCCCCTTTCTTTGATTGAATGATCTATGAGAAGTTTGCTATCTTGAATGATCATGCCGTCGGTCCAGATCTCAAGAGGATCGCTGCAGCTCTTTTCTTTGTACGCGACAAAGCTAGGTTCGGCCGAGGTGAACGCAGGCAAGAGCAGGAAGAGGGAGAGAAGAGTTATTGGTGAAGCCATCTTGGAAGTATGTTAAAGAGTGTTCTTTTTTATAGTATGCCTAGGCAGTTATAGCTGTAAGTTGGAATGCTTCTAGATCTGAGTTCGTGAAGATGAATATTTCGAAAGGTCGGATTGGGAGTTTCCTATTCTTATATATTCATCTCAACCGATGTACGAGGCACAGGAAGGTCTCGCTATATTCAAATGGAAAATCCCGGGACATTTCAGATAACAAAACGGAAAGGACCCTTTCCCTCGACGTCTCATGAACAAGCTTTACCGATGAGCCTGGTACCCATAATTGTCCCTATACTACCTATCTTCTGACAACCCAAGCTACAGAGTTGACACACGTGGTTCCTCTCCGCAGATAGGCTATTGGACATTTCAAGATGATGACCCAGAAGGCTGGGGCTCTTAACTGTGGGTGTATCCATTATGATTGCCCGTTCGAGTATTCTTTAGCCTCTCTCTCGTAGTTTGCTACCAGCCTCCGCAAACCTAAGACCCGACGTGCCGTTACCGCTTTCTTATCTCGTTTCTACTCATGATAGTCTTACTAATAGCAAATACGTTTCGAAACTCGAACCCCTCATCGATCTTCGGGTCGTAGAAAAAAGCGTGCGAAGTGGGCTTCTGGGAAATCCGCCCATATCGTGGAAATCTGGGGAAGAACTTCAAGATACAGAATCCACTCAGATCTAGATGACAGGGATACATAGATACGATTGTTAGGGTTAGGGCTGTATCATCCACCGAACTCACTTCGCCCGCTATCTCGAGAGCCGTGCTACAGTACACTGACATATTCCCAGGCCGTCTCCTCAGTTACCCTTCGTATAGAACCGAGATATCATTTTGGTCTCAAAGACAACGCCTCGAAACGTTATTAAGGCGTATAATTGACATCATATGATAGTCCGTCAAAGTAGATTGTAGTAACCGACCCGTGGGCAAACATAAACGCGGGACCTTTGACAATAAGTGGATCTACGTTTCGAGAGGCTTTGATTTGTCTACCGTACGAGGAGTAAAGGGGAGGCCGTGGATTTTAGAAGAGTATCTGTGGAGTTGATTTTATTGACTGTGGTATCCAACGAGAAGTCAAAGAATCATGATGACAATATGACTAGGAATAATACGACGCAAACTATTCGTCTCAGTATAAGGGTTATTCCCCTTCCGACATGGAGGAGCTTGACCGAGCCGTATGGTCTACGTTGTACAGCCTCGACCTAACTCGGTGTAATTTTAAATCGTAGTTATACTTAGGTACGTTAGACTGATGGTTGTCATATTCGTTTCTATAGGATTATTATGTTTGCGCCCCTAAACCCGATCTAGGTATTTTCTTCAGAGATTCAATGGTTGAGAGACTAAAACGCCGCCACCGCTCCAGATAGAACTCTTGTTTGCTTTATCACTTTAAGGTAGCAAGATATAGGCCTAGCAAGATATAAGCTCTATCTTACTATTACCAACGAGACAATTTACGTCACCTGATTTGTCCCGTAATCTCTACATAACGTAACTCACGCCCAAGTATAGACCAGTCATGTTGGCTTTGACGTTTCCCCGTGGGGTCAAGATCCTGCGAATACCCACCTTGTATTAGATACGTTCTGATGAGAGCCGAGTTTGCCTTGATCTAAAAGCCGACCCGGGATACTAATTTAAGACTTCGAGGCTAGCTCTCACCGCATGAGTTTCACTATTACTAACCATGCTAGACATCCACGGCATCTAGAAGGATTCTAGGGAGTATGTTCTAGGTATAGTGGGTGGTTTAGATAGCTAATCGTGATAGATAAAAAATAAGGCAAAAGCCACGTGCCGTAGGTAACGGTGGAGAGAATCTAGGGTGTCGGGAGTTTAACGACGATCCTCTTCACCGAGCCTTTCTGGTGACGATTTCTTGACAAGACAACCCTCACGCTTCTCTCTAAACCCCGCAACCTAGAGATAAAGGGGCTTCTTCGAAACCCACGACCAAACACATTTTCAATAGAACCTATACGATTGGTTCGTCAAGCATAGCGTAAGGAAGAAGCTAGAACATGATATCGTAGACCCATTCTATTACTAGTTGTTAAACTCGGTACCTAGATAATGAACCTCCGAGGAAATATGCGGGAAAGCCCAACGACTTCGCTTCAACATCGGTGTATGATATTCCAGTAAATGTGACGGATACATGCAGAATAAGCAACCAATGTCCCTCAACCTTCTGCACATTGAGCTGGTCAATACTTGCTAGCCATAGAGACACGCGGAAATCAAGCGCGGGATTTTGGAACCTGAAGACGAAAGTGTCTACACCGAGAGATAGCAGACATGGACACAAGTTTATGACATAGATTACATAAATTACACTTTAAGAACGGCAAGATGATTCATTGTAGAGCGTAAGAAGAAAGCGAATTCGGTCATAATATTGGCATCTTAGAAGTTGCCTGTTTCAAGACTTTAGATAACGCGTTGATATGCCTTCGATTGTTCATTGGGCTAGTCTTGGGTTCTAGGAGTTTCTATCCTGGACACATAGTTAACTCAGATTGATTGTATCTAATTCGAAAACGGGTCTTTCGAATGTCTATTCCACAAGTTCTTACACGTATTAAAAATAAATAGGGTATCGATATCAACTATAGGTCTCAGGCAAAACGATCAATGAAACACTTGAGATATTATACGGTAAGGACTAATAGGTAGTCGGGATCAAGAAATGAAGACCACGTGGCCCCCGTCTATCCGGTTCGAGATACCTAGGGCTATTCATCTAATTACCGATCACATCATGCAAAGCTGGCCAAAAAGCTCAAGGTCGAAACTTTTTAGTACCATAGTTTCATCAGAACACACAGGCTCGCCTCCTGGATGTTGGCTTAACAGAAAACAGCTAGCCGAGAATATCATTCGCACAAGGCCTTTATAAAAGAAACAATCGCGCTCCTGAAGATCGAGCTAAAAGGTAAGACGGAAGATATAGTTCGAATCTTCCAAGCTTAGATCTACGACAAAAATGTTGGTATGCGACGAGTCAAGGCTGATGCCTATGCAGTGAAATATTTATATTAAATCCGTCGGCCGAGTCGGGCTAAAGTGTAGATATCTTCTCCCTTTTGAATAGCATCGTAACTATTCTAAGACGATCCGTGGGGCATCCGGCAGTAGATCCCATCCTTCGCTCGGCAACTGTCGAACATGGGTTAGGATTACGTTGTCTATGTCGACTCCAACGACCTGGATCAGCCGCGAAGCGAGTATCGCATTTTCTGATTCGCAAGGGCAATTCAGGCGGATTGGCTTAAAGTTACATCTGCAAGGGGGGGTTCGAGAATCTAGGACGCTCCGAGACTTGTTACCGGCATCGGCATCGGCGCCGCATTCCCTGCGACTAGGCTACCTGCGACGGGATTCTTGGCATTTGAACTTTTCAGATTACCTACCTAGGTACTAATCTGACGCCTCGGGGATAATCCGTCAGTTATACCTACATCCATCAGTTATACCTACCCAGGTACCTTAGGTGCTATTATCCGCCGTGACGATCTTCCTTCTTTGGTTGACGCTTCGCATTATCTAGGACCTATCGACTATGTGCGCAACGCTGTAATCCGGCGAAACGGGATGATAATCGAATTGGTTGGATATTGCTGACGACTCACGAGCAAGGTAGACACGTTGGGGATGACGGCAGCGAAACTCGCATTCCAAAGGCATAACATGTCGAGATTGGAGGGTTGCAAAAATGACAAAAATGATAAAAATGAAAGGCTCGCTAACGCGCGATTTGGTCATTATAGTCGTGAAACTTTGCTATGAGATGGTTGCTTGATATCTTGCTTGATATCATCGTATCATTCTGCTCCTATCTTCATGTAACAGCCGAGAAGCGTGAAGAACGAACCCGATCGACTCCGATTCGTCAATTCCGTCGCGATGATCTAAGCATGGGTGCCTAGTATCTCGAAAGATACTGTACAATACGCAGGTAGGCATATCGCAATATATGAGCCCTATCAAACACGTTGTCTATCAAGATCGAGGCCGCATTGGTGGGTCGCGCTGCGGTTGCATGCTTGACCTGTTCGCTCAAGCGGGCTGCATGATACATCAGATTGATTGACTTGATTTATTAGATGCTGGCCCATAGTCCCAGGGTTCGTAGAGTCACATAGTTTGCATGGTCACCTAGTTTCTTGGTCCAAGGGTCAAAGTTGGGAACGAAAAGAAGCGAAGAGTGAGTGGTTTATATGTCATATCTTACTATTTAGTTCGACACTCGCAATGCTAGCATGGTTTAGCACTGGGATTGTCTTACCTGGCTAAATGTTGTGGTCGATGGTATCAATGGTTTGCGGGATGGCGCGATCAGTTCCGCGGTGGAAAACGCCCCAGATTTTTTTCTACCAACTCACACAAAGAAGACATACACATTATCATGCAGCTGGGTCCGCTCGCCATACCGCTGGTCGATGGTAACTTGGAGAGATCTCCTTGCTTTGCCTTGTCGATGTGACTGTGATATACTCACCCGTCCATTTGAGCCTGATAGTTGTGATTCCTGACAGCCAACCTTACATCACCTTGAAATCCCGAGCCGTCCCCTAGGATAAAAACCGCCCCGGGCCCTGCTTTGCATCTGCCACGTCTCATTGACATTTCCAAAAACACTGTACCTTTAAACCCGAGTAATCATCCTCTCTGCCCTCTTAGTAGGCCTAGCATTTCGGGGACTATTCCGCCAACACCCCTAGTATGGCCGTAGACCAAGTGCTACCACACCTTGCGGATATATCCTCCAATATTCCTCGGGGGAAGGAACTGCTAGAGGTTTCGACGCAAGAGATTGCGACACCTCTGAGCGATAGCGCCGACGGATTCATACGCGACGGGCATTTCCTAGTCCAGTCGCCATACACCGAGCAGGAGCACTTGCTCGACCTAAGAACTCTCGACGAGGAAAATGCGTTACTCGCTCAAGCGCTCACTCGCATGAGGAGCCTGCGGCCAGACTATGCCACCGCGCCCTACGCCGAAACATTTAACTGGAATGAGATCATCGAGGAATTAACGCGACTCGTGCGAGAACGCGGCCACAGGTGGAAGGAAACTTCCTTCTTCGTCGTAGCTTTCCGGTCGCAGATTCCGCCGACAACTGTGTACGAGGATCTGGGGGCCTTGGATAAAGTAGCGCACGCGGAGGCGATAGCCAGTGGCGGCTTTCTCAAGTAGGTGTCCGTCCCGGCAAGGATCACGGAAGACAGGCGCTAACGAAACTCCAGATATTGGTTCGGACATCCTGATAAGGACGGCAGAAACCTTGCGACCTGCGTGTGGAGGTCGCAGGAAGAAGCAGTCCAGGGAGGAGCCGGACGTGGACATCGCAAGGCCGCGGCGGCCACCCGGTCGTTGTACTCGCATTGGAAAATTGACCGGCATAGGCTTATCGTCCGGGATGACGTGAAAAGCTGGGAGATTATTGACTGGGAATGAGGACGTAGGGTTACACTAGACTGCACGGTGATCGCCCGGCATGTTCGTCCTCATGTGCCTGAGAGGTGACCGTGTTTGGCGAATGGGAGCAGTCCGCGCGTTTGTTTTTTTTGCTTGTGATTTTCCAGCCAGGTATCGGTTATCGGCTGTCGTGCAAGACGGCAATAGACAGATGATAGACCCCCCGGCGTAAGGCGTCTAGATAGGATCAGAAGAAAAGAAAAGAGAATAGATAACTATTTGTTTCCGTACATCGGAAGTCTAGCTTCCCTCTCCTAATCGAGGCTTGACAACGACGAAAACCAACATCCGGTGGCGATAAAAAGAAAGCCAACATGATTTCTGCCCTGGCTAGTTAGACCCTAGTGTATGTATGTCTTTGTGTTCTTGTGTCCTTAGGATTTGGGTGGTGAGGGTCAATCCACTTGGGTTGCAAGGAGTTATAGAAGTATTCTGACAACCCTCCTCATCGTCGTATATTCGCAGTATATAGATAACACTTCCAACATATGGCGAAAGAGTATAAAATCATGGAAAGAGACGACGTTGCTTTGAGGCTCTTTAAATATGTTTTTTGTGGAATGTCGACATGGAAAATGACAACATGGCGTGGGGGTTCCAGAGTGGGATGTTTGTTACTTCATCAGCAACTGAGCATTGATGCCGACGCCAGCGTGTTTCTTTCGAGCAGGGGTTAGAGCCTTTAATTGCATATCTGAATTCTTTACGTTATTTGACTGTTCTGCCTTATGTAGCTTAATCAAGATACCGGGAGCCGCGGGGTAGATGTCCGATTACCTAAGATGTCCGATTACCTAAGGTGCCTAACCACGAAAAAAATAAAAGACGATAAAAGGCTTAACGTTATGCCGTTTCCCAGTACAGGTGCCCCTCAGCTGGCAAGATTCTTCCCCAATTTTCCCATTTTGTAACCCACAGAATCGCATCCCACTAAAACCTCAAAATCTTGACCAGATTCGCAACTTCGTCGTCACCCGCAACAACCGAATCAACAACCGAATCCGATTCCATTTCCCTCCTATACGTTCGGCATAAGACGCGAATAATTATCCGGTCAAACACTTCGCGGTCATGGCCGACTCTCTAAAGGATACGCCGTTCAAGACGGTTCAGGTCGAGGCTCTGGTTAGTATTTACGACATTCTTACCGAACCCCTCCATTCAACCTATAATCAAGCCGCTAACTGCTATACTGTATGCAGGTTGTGATGAAGATAGTTAAGCACTGCTCAAACAGCTTCCCTTCGACTGCGACGGGTTCCATCGTTGGTATGGACAAGGATGGTATCCTCGGAATCACAAACACTTTTCCTTTTCCTACGGTCGACGTAACGAACGTCGAGGGTGGCCACCAAAACGACGCGTCTGCACTTGCCGCCGCCGCACCGCGCGCCAAAGCAAACATCATCTACCAGAACGACATGATCCGACATCTCAAAGAGGTCAACGTCGACGCCAACAACGTTGGTTGGTATACGAGCGCTACGATGGGCAACTTCGTCAACTCTAGCTTTATCGAGAACCAGTACCATTATCAGCGCGAGAACGAACGGACCGTAGCTCTAGTTCACGATGTCAGCCGCAGCTCGCAGGGCGCGCTAAGTCTCCGCGCATTCAAGTTGACGCAGAACTTCATGACGGCGTTCAAGGAGGGAAAATTCACAACCGAGAGGTAAGATCATAACGACAGCTAACTTAAGGGACTAATATGCTAACATAAAACAGCCTGCAAAAGTCAAAACTTTCCTTCAAGGATATCCTTGTCGAATTCCCTATCCATGTTCACAACTCGCATCTCCTTACTTCCTACCTCCACCAGCTTCCCTCTCCCGCTTTAGAGACGGACGTGACGATGCCAACATCTCTTTCCGATCTACGAGGCGAACCTATCAAGATGCCGCTTCATCCGTCGGTTGATATTCTCGACCTCTCGATAGATCCTTTCCTCGAGAAGACTTGCGATCTTCTACTCGACAGTATCGAGTCTCATTACACCGAGCTGAACAACCACCAGTACTACCAGAGGCAACTCGCCCGGGAGCAAACTAAGATCACGGCGTGGCAGACGAAGCGAAAGGCGGAGAACGCGGGGCGCGTCGCGGCTAAGCAACCGCCTCTTCCGGAGGACGAATGGCAACGAATCTTCAAGCTTCCTCAGGAGCCCAGCCGATTGGAAGGCATGCTGAATGCGAAGCAAGTGGAGCAGTACAGCAAGCAAATAGACGGGTTCACAGCCAACGTCAGCGCCAAGATGTTCGCCGTCAGGGGCAATCTTCTTCCTGAATAAGGGTTATGAAGAGAGGAAAAGGGGTAATTGATATAGATGCATGTGGCCCGGCGTCCGGAGGCGTTTTAGGGTTTCTACTTCGGGTCCGTAGAGCTAAGTCCATCAAGTCAAAGTCATTCTAAATCTCTGTTTGACTTGTTGCGGGGCGGAGCTCATACGTAGCATAGGAATTCAGGCGCATGAAGCTGAAGTCAAGGAAGGCATAATATCTGCCCTGTCTAGGGCCATGTCTAGAGTATCCGTAGGATGCTAGCGTAAGCATTGATATATGTCTGTGCTGAAGCAACCCGAACAGCCATACCAGGGATTTAGGAACAGCAATACTTCCGATGTTTTACGGCCGACATTTTCACGGCCGACGTTTTACGTTTCCTCGCGTATACTCTGGGCATATCTCATGTTAGGAGATACAGTACTTAGAAATTCGCACAACGCATATAATTGCATCTCAATTTTTTGTACTTTGTCAGCTATCAATTGTAATTGCAATACCTCTACAAACTGTGCTTATCGTACGTCTAAAGACGCAGGCGAGCGATAGAACGTAAAGGCAACGCCACCAATTGAATAGGTCTTACTTTGCCAATCCTACGCGGGATTCTACCTTGAGGGTCGAATCCATTCGGTTGTCAGGAGTTACCTAAGCACTACGAGAGGAAATGCGGAAGATGTGGGCATATTCAGACACATGGACCTATTAGAAGAGGTAATACGTACACGGAGTTACTAAGATTCCAACAACACGCAAAAAGATTTGCCGAATGGATGGACGAGGCGGGATGAGGGGCATTTTTTCAGGGACCAAATCCTCTAGTCCAAGATTGGTTTAGCGTTAGTGTCAGCAATCAGCGCCGACCACTCAACCGTATCTATCATCTCCCAGTAGACTTGGAAAGAGGGGCTGAGGGGTAGACCCGGAGCTGATAGAGAAAAATTCCAAAATACCTAGCCTACCATCCTTCCTCCCTCCACTAGATCCGTACCTAACCTACTTATTTCTAGGGCTCTAAGGCTCTAGTAAGGCTTTAACTAGCAGTTTAGGTACTTTAGCTTACCTTAGGTACTTTGCAGTATTTTAGGTATTTTAGGGTATCTTTCTCCTCCGTCCATTTCTTTCCCTTCTCCTCCTCAACTCTCCCTTTCCCTCACCATTCCAATTTATCTCACTTCCCCTCGGGCATCGTCTGTAAGTATTACACCAGTCGTATACATCCATCTATATACGGTTACCCACGGTTACTTACCTCGAGTTTTACTTGCTAATCTTTGTCTTACGTAGAATATCCGTTCTTCCCGCTTGCTCATTCTCCTTCACCGCCCCTCACACATATCAGTTATCTCAGTACGTCTCCCTACCTCTGGCAAACTTTACAATTATTCCGTGGCAGTACCGCTAACAACCGCTCAGAGATGGCTGCTCCCGCTAGCAAGTTCAAGGTCGCCGACCTCTCTCTCGCCGCCTTTGGCCGCAAAGAGATCGAGCTCGCGGAGAACGAGATGCCCGGTCTGATGGCTATCCGAGAGAAGTATGCCGCCGACCAACCTCTCGCCGGTGCCCGCATTGCCGGTTGCCTGCACATGACTATCCAGACCGCCGTCCTGATCGAGACCTTAACGTCTCTCGGTGCCGAGGTTACCTGGACCTCTTGCAACATCTTCTCCACCCAGGACCACGCCGCCGCCGCCATCGCCGCCGCCGGTGTCCCCGTTTTCGCCTGGAAGGGTGAGACCGAGGAGGAGTACAACTGGTGCTTGGAACAGCAGCTCACAGCTTTCAAGGACGGCAAGAAGCTCAACCTAATCCTGGACGACGGTGGTGACTTGACTCACCTCGTTCACGACAAGTATCCCGAGATGCTAAAGGACTGCTTCGGTGTTTCTGAGGAGACCACCACCGGTGTCCACCACTTATACCGAATGCTAAAGAATAACACTCTCCTCGTGCCCGCTATCAACGTCAACGACAGCGTCACCAAGAGCAAGTTTGACAACCTCTACGGCTGCCGCGAGTCTCTCATCGACGGTATCAAGCGCGCCACCGACGTCATGATTGCCGGTAAGATTGCTGTCGTTGCCGGCTTTGGTGACGTCGGCAAGGGCTGTGCCATGGCTCTTCACGGAATGGGTGCCCGCGTCCTCGTTACCGAGATCGACCCCATCAACGCCCTTCAGGCTGCCATGGCCGGCTTCCAGGTTACCACCATGGAAAAGGCTGCTCCCGTCGGACAGATCTTCGTCACCACTACCGGCTGCCGAGATATCCTTGTCGGATCTCACTTTGAGGCCATGCCCAACGACGCAATTGTTTGCAGTACGTATACACCGTGCTAATGGCGTTAGCGGCGTAATAGCTAACCGTTTTCTAGACATTGGCCACTTCGATATTGAGATCGACGTCGCCTGGTTGAAGAAGAACGCGAAGAGCGTTCAGAACATCAAGCCTCAGGTAGACCGTTTCCTCATGCCCAGCGGCCGACACATCATCCTCTTGGCTGAGGGCCGATTGGTCAACCTCGGCTGTGCCACCGGCCACTCCTCCTTCGTCATGTCTTGCTCCTTCAGCAACCAGGTTTTGGCGCAGATCATGCTGTTCAAGGCTCAAGACAAGGCTTTCGGCCAGAAGTACGCCGCCTTCGCCAAGACGGAGAAGCTTCCCGTCGGCGTCTACGTGCTGCCCAAGGTTCTAGACGAGGAGGTCGCCAGGCTACACCTTAGCCACGTCAACGCCGAGCTCACCACCCTTACCAAGGTGCAAGGTGAATACCTCGGATTAGAGCTTGAGGGTCCCTTCAAGAGCGATCTGTACGTTTCCTGTCCTGCCACATATTTTCTTGCTCGTCTTGCTAACAAGATTTCGCAGCTACCGATACTAATTTCAGCTTTGTACATCAATTACTAATGTGCACGATCGTCAACATTGTGTATCTACAGTCGAGTTCATATATAACTCGCTTAGTCCCCTTCGATTATGTAGGGGCTGGTCTGTGTTTCAACAAGCATGAGTCTACGCATCAACTGGCATTGGGGAAATAGGGCATGAGGAATCAAAAAGGGCCAGGAGTGCCGGCAGGACATATTTTTTCAACAAAAACGGCGTTGGCATTTTTATCTATAACATGATTCCCCTCATGGCGTTTTGAGATTTCAAAGACCGAGGAACTAGTCGACCAAGGTTCATGCAGCTAGAGAAAGAGCTGAGCAATATCCGTCAACCGGATCTGGATAGAAAATAGAAGCAGCCATTGCGCATTTTCTGTCTAACTATCGTCTACAATACTATGTGACTTGCTTGACGTAGAGATTTTGTTTGTGTCTCCGTGCTATGCGTTACTCCCTTACCTTATCAATATCCTCGCTTGAGTCTCTCCCTTGCCTTTTGTGTCAGCAGTGAGCCTCGACTCGGTGTCATTGCGCACTCTGCAGCTTCAAGGCAAATCGCTGAGGACTCGGGTATCGCAGATTGGGTTGGCGCCAATGTAGATGATATGTGGCTATCGGCGTAGAAGGTTGTCAATTCGCTAGCTACATGGCCTCTTGCCGATGAACCCTCTGTAGTTATGGCTATAACCGACTTATAGCTAGCTTATAGGGATTCTCGCTAGCTAACGAGACCGATGACTCTTTCTATACGGAGCTTTCCAAGAACCCCGAACGAGCGCGCCGTTTCGGTGGAGCTATGAGCTTTTTCACAATAGGCCTTGGGTATTCTTTACATCATCTAACAGATAACTTCGCTTGGAACTCGCTGGGTTCCGGAACCCCCGTCGATACGGCGTCCGCTCTAGCACGTAAATATCCTAACTTGAACTTAATCGTCCAGGAGCTTCCCGAAGTAGTTGCAAGCTCGAAAGCGAGAGAGGGGCTAGAGGTTCGGTTTATAGCGTAAACAGCCGACCAAGAAGGCTGATGCTTATATACCGTTGAATCTTCACAACTGGCCGGATAAATACTGCATCGGAATTCTCAAGACTTTGGTCCCAGCTTTGAAACCAGGATCACGGGTTCTTGTTATGGCCTTGTGATTGATGCCTCCGCCGTGTGTCTTACCAAATAGAGTTGAAAGTTGAGGTTAGTATCCAACAACATTATTATCTGAATACTCTCACATTAATAGACATTAATATCAAGTTCGTTTGTATCGGTTAATCGAGACTCGCACTGCATTTCGTCGGTACATTCCGTCGATTCTTATATACTACACGCCACAACTACTACTGTATAAAATCCATCTCTTTTTATCTACCGTGTAATTCTATGATGCCGTATTAGTCGAAAGCTCTATAGCTGCCCGTCTGGTCGAGCTCGCTCCGCGGAGGGATGCGAAGCCCAACATACGAGGACACATCTTCCTCGTACATCTAGATATCCGTTCCGAATCATCTCGTACTTAGGAACACTCGATCCGTCGTCCCTACTATCAACAAATACCCGCCGCCATGGACATCAAAACTCTGACTGTCCCATCGTATCGAAGAGAAACAGAAAACGAAAATGCCTTGTATCCTACCGTTGCTTTTTGTCGCCAACACTTTTCAACACTTAATCGTACATCGTACTCGGTGACTAATAAAAGACGTAAACGTAGTCTCATTTTCGGGGCGCTTCGTAGAATGCCGCAACGCCGATTAAAACCCCACCCCTTAATCTGTTCCAGATCGCTACAATCCCTCGACTGAGTCGTTCCGCCGCCACCCGTAGCACGTCCCAAAAGTGGTACAGGCGAGGATAAGTAGATGGCGGATCATCGAAGAGATCGGACGTAGAACGAAGAGGAAATACTACCATCTAAACACTCCGCGCTTTCGAATGCTACATCAAAAAAGAAAAGCCGATATATCCCTCGCGTGCATATTAGTACATCGTTATAGTGGTATGGAGAATTGTATGGCGTAGTTATCTCCGCGTGATATTGCTCCCGGGGGCGATAAAAGCCCTAACTGCAAGTTCGGAGAAGCGGCGAACGACATTAGTGGTGCCCCCCGTAACTTGAGACTCGTCCTGGACGAACTTGCGAGCGACGGCCAGCTTGCTTTTGGGGTCGGTCTCGTCGAGATGCGGGGGTAAGGTGCTTTCGAAATCAGGAGGGAAGTTTGGCGCGAGCGCCCGGATGACGGCGAGAGAGTAGAGGACGTCTCGGTTTTCGCGCCCGTCTAACAGCTCGCGTAATTGCCCGAGGATATAGTCGCGCTGGCGCATAGTGTCCACGCCCGGCTGATCTCTCACGCGGAGGAATTCGGCGAGGAAATACCAAAACTTAAACTCCCTAATCCGGTGAAGTCGTATATCGGCGTTCGCGGGGGGCGGATGAAGAGGATTCTGGTCGAGGTGATCGCCTGATAACAGGGCCTCGAAGACTGCTACTCGATTTCGCGCTTCGGACCCGTCGTCGGGGGGTGGCAAATGTTCCCCGACGTTAATCTTGTACTCGGACGTGTATACCAACGTGGTCAAATCCCAGACCACTCTGAATTCGAGGTTTGCCGAATATTGCATGCCGGCCACGTCGTTAGCATCCGTCTTGGCCATGGATTGCAAAAATCCGGCCAGCATCTCGTTGACGGCCGTGCTGGACATCAGCGCGCCGATACCTTGAGGCTTAGTATACCATTCCGTCTCGAAAAACTTCTCCAGGCCGGGGGCGTAGACCTGATCGTATAGATCCCTCACGTCGGCCAGCTTGTCGGCGGTGAGGGGCGAGTCGAGGGTCGGGGGCACGGTGCCGGTCATGCCCACGAGTTCGTGAACTTTCATCTTCCTTGCTGAAAACCAGAGTAAGCCGAAGTCTGTCGCCGAAAAGGAGAGACCACAGAATGCGAAGCAGAGCGATAGAAGGGAACAAACGGAGGGCCACCTCTGAGACGGGATGTGCCGAACGGATTGTGAGGAGAAATTGGGGTAATGGGTGTGATGGCTTGGAAATGAGAAGGCGACGTACTCGTGGTGGACAATACGGTGTCTAAAGTAGGATCGATAGCGACCGGGTATTCGAGAGCGGGCTCGCCCTTGACCGATGACGCAGCTGTTCCCGCGGCTGTCAGGTTTCCGGCGAATGGTGCGGTAGTAGGAGTGGTATTAGATATTACCGGGGGAAGAGTGGCAGTATAAGAGGTTTGGGTTTGCGCGCTGCCAGACGCGGGCGTGGAGGAGGCGGGAGGTCGACTTGACGGTGCGGCAGAAGAGGAAGCCGACGAATTATTGGGAGCTGGTCGAATATTGGTGTGATGCTGCTGTTGTTGATTCTTAAAGATGGGATCGTAGCCCAGGCATTCGCGTTTGGATTTCTGACAATTCTTGCAGATGGGATGTTGCTCGTCGCACTGTAGAATCGGATTTGGTATTTAGCAATCGAACCCAGTAATGGTGAATATCGATTGAGTGCAGAAGACGAAAAGTAATGGAAGTGAAAGCAGAAACTAATTGCGTGCTTAAAGTAAACGACACGACGTGGAAAGATGGTAAGGAAGTGGTGATAGACGAAAGGTGGGGAAAATAAAAGGTTGGATAAGCAAAGCTCCAAGTACTCGAGCTTTCGAGCTACCCTAGAGCTCTTTGGAGTTTTGGGGTTAGGGGATCGACCATCTAAAACTTTAAAGGAGGGGAGGGGCTCTTGCTTTTTGGAGTTCCCAAAGGGAGCTCCCGGCGATTGACAGATGTCAAATAAAAAAATAAAAATTTTGGACCCCGGGTTTTTTGTTCGCCCTGGATGTGATTGTTTAGGTCCATTACTCGGTCGCTCGGGGCCGGCGTGATGCTTTGCTTGCTTGCTTGCTTGCGCTTGCTTGTGCTTGCTCGCTTTTGCTTCGCTCGCTTGTCCATAGCTCCTTTTCTTCTTAAGCGAACCCCGATCCAAAATGTGTGAAAGGTGACCCATTGATAATTAACCAAAAATCCTCGAGCATCTTTAGCTCATTAATTCATCTTCGCCTATTTTCCAATTTTGATTATATTCGTCCCCAATTCTCTTTTCCTCGTCCCGTAAACTCCCTCATGCGCCGAAAGAAAAGGGAATAAAGTAAACTTAACATAATAGACACATACCTTTATACGTCTTTTTCGACACGTCAGGCAGCCTGTTTTCGTTCGGCGTTTTATTTCCTACGATGGCAAGCAAACATTACCAGGTCAGTTGCCGATTAAACGAGAATAACCCTAGGGGACAGCATTATTCCAATTACCTTCTTGTGTCGACCGCCTAGCACGCTACCTGGTCCGCTTGGAGGTAGAGCATATTGCGGTCTTAGCGCGTCGGAGGGTAGGGCGTACGGGTTATTCGCAGTCATAGGTACGGGTTGTTGTGCGAAGTAGGACATGTGCTGCTGAGCCGGCATCGAGGGGACCGACGGGACGGGATTCACAGGCATCGCCATCGCCATGTGCTGCTGCTGCTGAGCCTGCTGCTGAGCCGGGTCGAAGGTGCGCATGCTCGGCAATGCCATGGCGTTGCTGGGAACGCCTACGCTCGCCCGGTACGCGTCCGCTCCTTGACCCGCCGGGTTTGCATATCCATAGTGTGTAGTCGCCATTGCGGACGCCGGATATGCCGTAGGATTCGGGTAGCTAGCGGGCTGTCGAGGTGGGCCCTGAGGATGGTGAGGTGGGTTGTTCGACATGACTTCCGGAGACGGCGCAACAGCTTCTTGCTGCTGTTGGTGCTGGTGCTGCTTCTGCTCTTGCTGGTCGGGCAGAGCGCCGTTGGTGGCGACGGTCGCCGAAGATAGAGTAGCCTGATCAGTAGCGAGCGTAGTCGCGACGGGATCGGCAGCGGGTGAGGCTGTCGCCGGCGTAGATGTCGAGGTTGGTGTCGAGGTTGGCCTAAAGCCGTCGGTGGTAGAGTGGTCCGAGAGAAGCTGGTAACCCTGCTCCCGGTCTTGTTCCTTTTCCCGATCCTTTTCTTGTGCCCACTCCTGCTCCTGCGCGTGGGCGGCGGCTACTGTCGTCGTTGCATTATTTGCGGAATCTACGTTTGAAGTTGGTGCGCGTGCGCGTGCGTGTGCGTCGAAATCGAAATCCTGAGCATCCGGCTCTGCCTGTGTCTGCGTCTGCGTCTGCGATTGTGTCTGCGATTGTGCCTCTACCCGTACCTGTACCTGCCCCTGCGCCCCTTGGATATTTTCCTGCTCTTGCGTAGCTTGTGACGATGGAGACTTGGCCCGCGATTGATGTGGGAGGGCATGGGCTACTTCTTCAGCGGCGGCAGAGACGGGTTCAGGCTGAGGTTGATGAGCCTGTGGCTGTTCCTGTTGTGCCTCTGCCATTTGATTTGATTTTAATTTGCAATTTTTTATGGGGGCGCGATCTGAGCAGGGGCACGCCGATTCCAAGGCGCTGCGTAAGGGGGGGCCAAGTCACGAAACCCGACCTAGGGCTGGCAGGGGACGGGGGTCGTGGTTCGTGGACGATGGACGGAGACGGGGACGGGACCTATCTGGTCTGGTTCCAGCGCCTCAAACGGTGGGCGTGGCCCAGCCAGCGAGCTTTAGCTACCTGCTGTGTACTGTCTCGTCCGTCTGCCAGTTTCTGTATTGTATATCTGTATGTAAGTATATGGTGTGGTAGGGGATGTACATACATACATACGTACATACATACATGCACTACGTACGTATTGTATCCTATGTATATATGGGTGTATGTAGTCTATGTATGTATGTACGTACGTGACTATGCGTAGCCGAGACGAGAGGAACAAGGGGATCAGATCCCAGAGAAGGGGGAGTGGGGGTTCAGCACACGAACAGACAATATACATACCTAACGTAGATTCGTAGTGTACAGGCGTACAGGCGCAAGGGCGTACATACATACATCAGAATGCGAAAGCAGCAGTAGCCAGCATTCAGCAGATGCTAGTGTAGGAACGGCTGAGTGTTGTGCTGCAAGTGGTGGTGCGATGTTCGAGGTGTTTCGACGGTTTCGACGCGACCCTGGGCCGAGATTCCAGTTAGCTCGAGTCGAGTCGTCGGCGCATTTGTTGCGTTTTCTCCGTAAAGAGGCCACTTGTTGCTCCTTTTGTCCTAGTGTCCGGTCCTGCAAAAAGCTTGCCCGGCCTGAAGAAATTCGACAGATACAGGAACAAGGGGAATTGGGAAAAGATTGGAGAAATTGGATCCTGATGGAGCCTTGAGGCTGCTTTGGCGGTCCGCCGTGGTAGTGTCGACGAATGTTACCTACTGTACGTACTTTTGCATATTGTACTGAAGAAGAAGACGAAGACAAAAAAAAAAAAAAAAAAAAAGTTGTTGTACAGTTTATCATGTACTGTGTGGAGCAAGACGCAAGGTACCTGATCAAGCCTGGTCGGCTTACTTACAGAAGAGGTACGCACTTTATTCCGTCGTCTTGTCGAGTTAGGTACTTACAAGTAAGCAGCGAAACCCCCTAATGGCTTTTACCTAGCGATGTTCTGCATATGTACCTAATCTTTAAATTACCCAGTTAGGCAAAGTCATTCAGCCAGCTGCCAGCAAAGCAAAAAGTATAGAAAAGTAAAAACAAAAATCACAGTAACAACTTCGTGCGCTATAAACTGTACCAATGCTACAACCAAATGTAGGTACCCGTACACTCGTGTGGCTCGATAATACCTTCAAACTACCTCACATACAGTTATATAAGTATTCATACATTACTGAAAAGACCTCTATTGGACTGGCTGGCTGGCTGTCTGGCTGGCTGGCACATAGCTGCTTGTGTTGGCCATGCAGAGCGATAGATCGATCCTTGGAACAGACCCTAATAACCACATGCATGCTTACCAAGTCTGACATGATAGGCACGTACATCCGTGGATATGATTGACGAAACAAAATAGAAGCAAGACCGATGCCGGTATCAGGAAAAAGCTGGAAAAAGCGAGGTCGAAGATATACCCCTATAGAGCGGTCAACTTATTTCTGAATTAGCCCGACCTTTAAGTCTTCGATAGGCAGGTATACCGTAACTATCGCAAGTCGCCTTCAAACAGGGAGGCACTTTTTTCGAGAACTCGACGGCGTCAATAGACCGGAAAGGAAGCTCGGTGAGACCCAGGGCACCCACTCACACCATCCAATAACCTAACTCGACGACGCGTCCGTGCAAAAAGGTGACTGTGACTTTCCAGTTTCTACATAACTACGCTGTATTAGTAGCGTGCCTCATATATGTAATGCCAGCTTTGCCAGCTTTGCCAGCTTTGGCTAAAACAGTTGACATTGGGAAAGCCACGATGTCAATTCTCTCTCTATCTTCTCTCTAGTTTCTTTCCTAACGACCGGGGTTATAAAACCCAATGCGGGTGTGCATGCACTATGCATATAGGACTAGAAATAGTCAAGAAGGGCCGAGGAGTTCATGATTGAGATTGAGTGGGAGGGAAGAAATTTGTCTGATAAGAGCAGATTAATGGGCATCCATCGAGTTATTAGGACCGAAGTATATACATGTACAGGTCTGTAAGTGTGTAGTTGAGGACTATGATGCGAGGGTAGGTATACAAGTACATAACTCATGAGTAAAAATAGCAATAGGGCTCAAGAGGTACTTATTGGTATAAAAGGGGTCAACAGGAAGGATGCGGTTCCAGATACTACTCAACCACCAACAGGCTTAGGTAGCCGTCAATCCTCTTCGATAAATAGAAATTGTCTATTCATGTCACCAACATATCATATCTTTTTTTTTCTCGCAAAAATCTAGAAATGACTCGAGATACGTCAGGAGATGTGATACACGAATATGTACTCGACGGTCAACGTCTACTCTAGCCATGCATGTACATTCATACACCTTACATTTCCGGCATGTATGCGCGCTGTCGTATCCCATGCAGTCGATATCAATTGTCCATATATCATCATCATATACCAGCTGTTCGCCGCGTACAACTACTATGTAAAAAGTAAGGCAAGCCGCCACCACCACTCTAGCTTGTCCAGGCTCGTCTTTTTCAATTTCACTCCCGGATCAACAGGGGCTACGCCTATTTGGGGCGCAGCCACGCGTGGGATGCTTCGGTAAATAACCGGACTGTATTCCGTATCCCTTCTCACCCTCGCACGAACGGGATGGCCTCAACATCTTCTCTTAGATATGTACATACCCAATATTCAAGTTTACCCGCTGCCGTTTACTAACGATTCGGCATGAGGTCATTCTCCATACTTTGAAAGTAGTGTATGTCTCCATACTTTGATAATAGTGTATGTATCTTGTGTAGTGGAGCCCGGCTTCACGTCACTTCTTTTTTCTTTGTCTCCTTACTATTGAGGAGACAGCCGCGTCGATCCATATGATCACCCCCCATGCTCGATCTAACCGGCGGGTTTTCCACTCTCGGGTATCGAGTTCTAAAACTATGCATAGCTTATTCAGACTGCAACGGTAGAACCGTGGATCCTTTGAGTCCCCACGGTAGCATTAGAAACTTCCTTTTGATGCCCAAGTCCGTCCCTGATAACATTGGCCACTCGATTGTTTACGGAGAAGCAGAATTATGTATGAATTAGTGGGCATTCGTTAAGAATTGCCCTATCTGCTTTCCTCATCCAACCCCGAGGTTTTACATAGTATGTAGTCCAAGTTAAGACGTCTAAGTTGAGACCCCTATGTTATACTCCCCAAAGAGAATCCTACAATTTGTAATTCTAAAGCCCGCAACGCCTGCCTCTAAAATCTATGTCGAGCAAGCGCATGACGCAATTTTCATTATTATTACCATCACCTCTTATCCAGTATTTCGTAGGGTTTCATTCCGGGGCCGAGAGCGGCGTCTCGTCTCTTCTATTCCCCTTCGACTCGGCTACCTCACGCTCTTAAGCGAAGCTTAGCGATCCTTTCCGCAATGGAGAGAGGATGCTCAACCGCAATGCCAGCCGTCAACATATCTGCGTCCATGTGGCAGCACAGAAAATCGGGACCGCTAAGAAATGCAGCATCTTAACTTATTGCTAGGTTTTGGCTGATGTTTACCTGTCCATTAGGCTTTTTGATGTCGTGCGTCACAATGTCCAGGCACACCCCCTTAAGGCGGGTAGCGAATACGGCCCAGATCCTGCTCAGATCTTTCAAGGGTTATGTGATACGCTATTCTCCTATTCACGAATATTCTCTATCCGACCCTTTTCATCTCCCCAGAGCTCTATCTAGAGTTCAGCCAAAAGCCTGAAACATTGCACGATAGACCGCTGATGCTGGCCGGGCATTTATGGGGAACCGGCCCGCCGAGCCGCGTCGAGCACAAACCTTACATCCTCGGGATCAGGACGGAATTCCCGGTCCTTCGAGCTCAACTTGATATACATAGAGATTTGATATTGACATGTCAAGTTTCTCCATAGTATTGCCGCCCATTGACTGCACGTCATCCTGACATAGGCCAGCTAGCTCACTTTAGCCCTTATGCGTATATCTGCTATGGCCGAATACACCGAGCACCATGTTAATTATCTCTTTAACATCAATTCGGTCCGCAGACTATTGGACTGGTTAAATTGCAACTAATACCTGCTAGCATAACCTCGCAGCAACTAATTCTGATCTACACCATGCTGTCGTGACAATGCGAGTGCGTCTTGTAGCATCGGTGGATATTGCCAACCAGGCTTAAGAGATCAATCTCGAAGACATAAAATTTACTACTAAGAATGTAACGGGATTTATTCTCTCCCTGGGCAGAATCTCAAAGCTCATCGCCAGCCGCTGAAGCATTCGCAAACGGCCTATTATCGGCATGGACGTCACTGCGGTAGCATTCGAATAAATAGAGCATACAAAGAGGGTCCGCAATGCCATTGCTTATATCGAGCTCGGAAACCCAGTAGAAATACTACGTAGTCACATGTCGCAGTGCCAACATCATGACAACTAAGGGGGATTGAATATGTATAAGTCAACAGGCCCGATAACGATGTAGATCATAGCAATGTATGATGCCAATATTCCCGAAGCCGGCCTAACGTGAATATTGTCATTACGAAAGAATATTATGGCTATTAAGTGTCCTGAATTATTTTTGTCTGCATCCGCCCAGGTGGCCTCCCCGAAGATAGACTATCATGACTTACTGCTCACTGAGATGCAGGTTGATAGCCAATTGGTCAGTCCCAAGAGCATTATCTCAGTACACCATCTGTTTCATATTTTGCTTCTCATATGCTGGCTCTTGAGGCTCGATGCTATTGACAACTTCTAGATACGCTGTTACCCTCTCTTGCGTGTTAGTATCTCGCCGCAGTAGCCAACACGAATGTTTATGTAAGCAGCATCACTCATTAGCATCACTGATAATTATTTCGAAACTTGAGTAGATTCGTTAGGTATAGATAGCGGTTATACGTGATCTGTAGGGCTTACGTCTTCTACTTGAAATATGAACTAAAGGGTTGTACGTTAGTTGCTAAATGGAACAGCATACGAGTATAAAAGAGGCAGACATGAAATAAAGCATCTCTTAGTGCCAAATATTCAAGCAATAGTGAGTAGCTAGGTATGATATCTTTATGACTACCTATACAACCACTCTAGTCTCGTAACGGAATCTCAAAGGATACATCTATTTAGACGCAGGTGTACAGTTGGATAATATACGAAGATGAGTTTCGAAGAGGTAGGTAATAGAATGCCACCGTCTTTGATATCCATAACTTTCCTCAAACTTAGAACTTAGACTACACTACCATCCTATATAATTTTGCCTTTCGGCATAGCTAATTCACTAATGCCCATACAACGCCTCTTCCCCGTGACCTTTAGACATACCCAGGATCCAAGCAAATTATATAGTGTTGTTTCGGTCTCCGTTATCCTTCTCATGCCCCGGAGGTGGTATCTGACCCAACCGCTGAAGAGGTATAGTGATAGGCTTGCTGCTCATCTTTTTGCGCCGGGCTACTTTCATAGAGGCTGAGAAAAATAAGAGAAAATGTACAATTCTGCAGAAACTTAGTATAGCCAACTACGAAGCCAACTACGAACGGGCAAGAGGGATCGAGAATGAAACTCACATCAAAATAGCTAGAAACGCCACGAGGGCCTCCATTGACCGGATGTAGGATTTACTATAATATTCATAATAGTCGTTATTATCGCCATGATAATATTCGTAGTATTCAGGATAAGCATCGCGATCGTCCGAGCTGGAAAAGGCGAGTGCCCATGACAAGATATACGCTGTCAAACCAATCCCAACGCAGAAGCCCATCCATAGTAAAAGTTGTACTGCTACCTGGGCGCCCGGGTGGATTAGCCGGTGGTTTATTCTTCCCGCGTACGTGGTAGCGAGGTCGATGCCGGACCAGAGCAGAGCCGCGCCGGCCTGCGGAGCCGTCCAGACGACAATGTAGCTTTGGACATCGGGATCGACGGCGAGAGCAATTGATATACCTAGCACGATGGCGCAGGATGCTATAGATAAAGAAACTAGGACAATCTTATTCGCCGACCATTCTCGGCCGATAAACCCAATTGAAGAGCGTTGTTGAGGCTGAGATAGGCTGAGATCTGACTGGTATTGAGATTGAGGTTGATCCGAGTTTGTTCTTGTTTCCCCCATCGTGATATCGTGATATATAGTAGTTTAAACCCCGAATTCCTCCTAAACTATATGGTAAGCTATTCGTTTCGCTACATGGCAATTGATGCGAAAACGAATAAAATGAGAAAAATAGAAAATAGTGTTAACGTATGAATGCTGTTATGAAGTCATTATTGTCGCAATATACTTTTCAGCCCTCATCCCTTGTACTATGTGTGTACGTATATACATCCGGGCTGCCGGGTAGGCTTGACTTGGGTTTACGCTAGCTCAAGATTACGCAATAGATGCCCTGTTTCTTTCCCAATGTTTAAATGGCTAGGTTACATAATACTATACGTTGCCAAGAACAAGAAGGTCGCGCTAGTTAAAGACCTTCCCCGGATCTTAGAACTTAGAGCTTAGAGCTTGGATCCCTCCCTGTTAGAATTCCGTTGGCCTAATATATTATTCTCAAAGGAATCACTATATTTCACAGCATGCTATTCCAGCTTTCAGTATTTATCGACAACCCCGAAGATCATATCATATGTCGTACATCAACTCATATGTCGTACAAACCGCCATAGAGCTCAAACCCCCCTCGCGGACGAGACACCGACCGGCCTTCGCGCATTCAAAGGTCCGAAACAGGAAGTCCATTCAAAAACTGTGGCGTGTGGGGGTTGGCGAATCATTCCTGTTAAATCCGGCTTCGTCGCTTGATATACGTATCGCCGAAAGACTCGTCAACAGGCACATGTCATTTTAAGAGGGTAAATTTAATAACGTTCTTAAACCGAATATATTCTAGTGAATTTGGCTATAATTTAGACACCATTCTCCTTCAAGAACTAGACGTCCACGCGGCCAGGCGGGAGTCTTGATTACGCGTTATTGATCTTCGATATTTCTATCCTTATAGAGATATCCTCCGTACTATGCACCCGCGGCTACGAATACCCGGTCCAACTGTGCCTACGTCAACTTATAATCCGTGTTGTCCCTCCTCTCGGGTTAATGTGTATAATACTCCGCGCTCTTCTCGCGTCCGAATCCCAAACCCAGCCCGTTAACCAGCCGTTTGTTCGTATTCATGTTATAGCCTTGTTTAAATTCTAAACGAGAATTGTCATTTTATTCTACTTCATCTAGTATACATATAATATATCTATCAGCCATGGATTTCAGCCAGTGGGGTAATCCCAGCAAAGAATGGCTCGCCTTTGCAGCGGCAAACCCGGCGCTTCTGGCACGGAGCGACGACCATCTGCCGCCGCTGGTTTTGCAACAGAAGACGAACCATTCGCGTACCACAATCGCAAAGACGCTCGTCGCTACTACAGGTCTAGGTAATCTCGTGACCACAGAGGATTACGTCGTCTCGACTCGGGATGGGAAGTCTATCACCGTGCGGAGTTATCGGCCGATCTTGCTAGGATCAAAGCCGCTTCCCGGCTACGTATTTTTCCACGGCGGGGGTTTCTTCTTCGGCGCATTGGACACGGAGCTCTTCAACTGCTCATGGTTGGCACACGCATTGTCTATGACTGTCGTACATGTCTGCTATCGTCACACGCCTCATGTGAGCGGGCTGACACCATGGCACGACGCCCTCGACGGCTTTGAGTGGGTCGCTACTCATACGGAGAAGCTCGGCATCGACCCGTCCCGTATCGTTGTGGGCGGCATCTCCGCGGGCGGTTCGCTCACGGCGTGCGTAGTGCAGAACGAGGTGCGGCGAGCGCGCGAAACCGGGACTCCTTGTCGTGTCCAGGGTCAGGTCTTAGGCATTCCAAACTTGATCAACGTCAACGCGTTTCCCTACCACCTCTTCACTGACAAAGAGAAAACATCCCCCGAGCAGTGCGCTGATGCCGCCGTAATCCCTAGACAGCGTATGAAACTCTTCACCGATATGCTGGGTAGCGAAGTCGATCCATCTGATCCGACCTGGAGTCCTGGGCTTGTCGACGAAGAGGAGTTGCGAGGCACGCCGCACACGGCTGTTTTGGTTTCCGGCTGGGATCCAATCCGAGACGAAGGGCTGTGGTACGCCCAGAAGTTGAAGAATGCTGGGTAAGAAGCAGTCTTATTTCCTTATAGCTTTCGTTTTCGTAACATTAACCCTCAACCTCTCTTAGTGTCCGGACGAAAGTCCATATCTTCCCAGGTCTCCCCCACGCTTTCTATGCTTTCGTGGGTTTGCCCTCGCACAGGCACTGGAACGAAATTATGCTCGATTCCTTACGCTGGGCGGTGGCTGAGGAAGACGGCTGGATCGTCGAGGAGCCTCCTGTGATGTCACCGCTCATGGAAAAGGCCTTGTCGATCGGGGCCCCGGTAGACCCAACGACTCCCGGCGCTACTCCTGCAGATATGGCAAAGTCAGGAAACCTCCTTCGAGGAGAATAATGCTTCCCTCGAGGTTCTGCGGGGACGTACCTGGCAGGTCGGTGGAATAGCAGTGAAACTCAGTCCAAACTTCATTCGAAAGACGAGTTGCTTATTCTGGTTTCTAGACTTCTAAAGGCTGTTAAGAAAGTGAGGAGCGTGAATCCTGGGGGTTAAAGTTGAGCTGTTAAATATAAGTTCGTAGAGAATAGAAATTAGAATATGATGATAGTAGGATGCCATCTCTTTACTACATCACGCAGTAGATGAGATAGCCAGGAAGTCTGAAACCTCATCAGAAGGACGATTTTGTAGGCTAAAGGATATTGGTCTGCCGGTATTCATTTAGGGTCACATAATCCTTTATACAAGGTCCCGCCATCTTTCAAGTCGTTTTCCAGTTATTACGCTCTCATGGATTTATACCGCAAGGTCAAAATTATTATGCTAGAAACCAAACCCACTAATTTTACACAAAGCAGATTTAATAAGCTATCTAAACTAATTACTAGGTGAATATCAACGCAGTGTTCTTATTAATTGGCCAGTGTCATCTATAAAGGATATAGTATCAGGGTTGGCATCTAAATCTAAAGAAACCTTGAACTAAGAATACCTTAGTCATGAATTATCTCTTACGGCCTAAGCAGGATATCTCGGGGCCAAACTCAAGTGATGATAAATTTCACAATATTCATAATATAGTATGCCGATCTAAAAGCATCTGACACTGAGGTAGTATGATGTTCACTCTGGGGTCTTGTCTTACAGGGTAACGACTTAGTTACATAAAGCTATAGGGAGATAGAAAATGTGAAAGACACTGCATTGTCATGAAGCCTATGTTTATTGACAAACGGCCAGACTGATTGTCATGTAGATATAGACAGCTTCGGAATTAAGGCTAACAAGCCTTCCCTACAGTTTCCGTTTTACGTACCTAAGAGTAAGAACAAGACGGTCTAGCTAGAATCATCTTTTGCGTTCTTCTAGTGGGATATATTGGTTTTATCCCGTCATGAAGTGTTGTGCAGACGATATAGCGGTTACTAGGCATCGATTCTCGCCCTCAACCCAACAGCCTTCTAGGTATCTGCCCGATTCTTTTAATTTTCATGTACTAGGTATATACCTTTTACTTGCGTATAACTACCTACGCATATGATAAATACCTGGACTACCTAGGTACCTAAGCATATCAAAGTGCTTTCCTCTCCGCGTATACCTTCCAAGTTTCTTTCCTGGCAACATCGCAACACTTGGGTAAATTGCAAACTTCCCAAAACCAGTCACAGATCAAATCCAGTCACCGCAGCGAAGATACAAGTTTTGCTGTATTCTGAATAGATCTCCAAACCATGGCGGCTCTCTCACGAGCGACCTCCCTTTTCAACAGGTCATTCAACGGGCGATGTCCCCAGAAGCTCCATCGTATCGAATCATGGTATGTATCTCGTTAAACCTAGAATATATTTCTGTGAACTAACAGCAATATTTAGTGTTCCCACCTCGTTAGGATTTGATGGACGTCACCTGTATGGCAAAGTCATCTACCAAGGCGTGCCCTTTCGAAGCCATCCGGCGTTGACGGGCATCAAATCTCCCCAGCAGAAGCAATCGGGTAAGTTGATAGCTTGTCGTATGAATATCCAATGACTTCCCTTATTAATATAACCTATGCTATAGTTGTTGGATCTTTGACGAGCACGTCGATGGCAAGCTCGCGCCTTACCGTTCCCGCTGCGCACAGCATAACCTCATCACGACCGGGCAACACCATTACACCCTTGACCCTCAAAGGAACAACATTTCTTGCCTCACCCTCACATCCTGATGCTCCAGGCGTCGACGGCACGCCACAAACCCCGATAATCAAACACGGAAAGGCACTCTACGGCAGCCGCTACAAGACGGGCCCCGATATCATTCATGGCCACAAATGTTTGCATAGCAGCATGGATGGCTTCTTCGTCTACGTATTCAGCGTTCTTACGTGCGGCTTCCAGCCTGCTTTGAAATATCTCGGTGGAGTTCTCCTGACTATCAGCTTGAACACGATACTTTTCGTATTATGGGTAATCTTCTTTCATTAGGTTCATAGCCTCTAGCAAGAAAGGGACTCCCTACTATAGATAGTCTTATGTATTCCCACTCGGATAGTCCTTTTGCAAGTCCTCATACCTGAACAAAGACAAGAAGTGATGTACTTGCGCAGACCAATGGATTAGTCGTATAGTTACTGAAATTGGACGACCGAGACGAAATTTCCGTGGAATGCTAATGTTTATCACGTTGATCCTGTAATGGATCCGATAATTAATGCTGCGGAAATACTGGCCTAAACCACAATCTTGTAATTCTTCAGTAAATATTCAGTCCTTAAACTTGAGAGGTTTATGATATGTAAAGTTCAAGACACGCAAGACAGGATGGATCTCGACTGGGAAAATACCGAGAATGGCTTGTTCCAACACAGACACTGGGTTGACCCGTTATTAGACTCGGTATCATATTAACGACTATTAGAATTTCTAGCAATATTCCTGATACCAAGTCAGCCAATTAAACCTACAAGACGACTGGGTAGCCCCTAAAGTTCTAGAATACGTATTCGACATACGATAATTTTAGGCGCTAACAAGTATCGTGACAAGTATCGTGTCAAGGCCAAGTCAAGCAGATGATATTAGTTGGTATTAGAACAGAGCCAGCTCAGGGCACTTGGGTATATGTACATCATCCGCAGTAATAATCGATATGATACAGCGAAATAAAGCCTTGCAGCTTAATAATTCGGTCCCGGCACTCTTTCTAACCGTAGGCGTATTAACGCGGGCGTTTTACTCGTCGTCGAGTATTCGACTCGCTATTTGGCCGAAAATGGGAACTTCGAATCTGTTACGCGTAAGTATACGTTCTAGCCAGACGAGGTTCAGAGGGCTAAGCTCCTACCGATCTAACGTGTCCGCATCCCGATATGCGCGTAGGGCTAGCCATCCCATCAGGCCGAGATCCGCAAGGAATATGACCCAGCTTAGGAATGTTGACCACGAGAAGATTAGGTGTACAATGAAAACGACGGTGAATAGTAAACTGGACTGCCACGCGTGGAATCTAGGAATATGTTAGCATGCAACGTAGTTAAAGGTTTACGCAGTATCATAGTCGATCTTCCTAGACGACCTCGAAATATACCGCCGTCATAGGTAGCAAATCTAATTTGCTATACACAGCTAAGCTAATGAATAGGTAAACCCACCTAACAAAATCACTCTTCCGCTCTACTATCAGCAATATTATCGCGCCTAGAGGCGGCAGCGCAAGATACGCCAGACAAGCTTCGTAATCCAACCGTATGCCCAAGCTAGTGTCGAACTCGCTGACATACGCCCCGGTCTCAGGCGCGTAACCGCTACCGACACCGGCGCCGGGAAGCGAAGACTGCCACGAACGTTGAGGTTGAGGATGTTGTAAAGGCGGCGGGGACGTAAAGCCGCGCTGCTGCTGCTGCTGCGAAGGAGAGAAAGGCCGACGATTATCGAAGGAAGCGCGCGGCGACGCGGCGTTGGACCGAGGCGGGGAGAAGGGTCGGCTGTGTTCGGGCGGGGAGGATTGGTAGGGAGCGAAATCCATCGCGATAGATTTGTTGGGGATGTGTTTCAATATTCAATATATAAGAGTAGTAGACGGAATGGAATGGTTGGCTTTTGAATATGTAAAGTGGAATAATGACGTTGGGTGGGTTATATTTAGATGTATAAGATAAGGTGTGTAAGTGGAATGTTGATCGAAGTGCAGGACACCACCCAAGATCCCAAGACGGTGGAACGCAATACGCAATGCCGACTTGCAGCAGCTGAGCAGCTAATCTTATTAAATTTAAGCCCTGGTCAAACGTGTAACAGGGGCATAGGTACATGTCCTAAGGAAATATGAAACACCCAAGGGTTCACCACATGCGAATGAATTTATAGGTTATATGGGATACATGCATCCAATTAAATCAGATGCCTATAAATTCTGATATTCATATCTTTAAAGAACAAGCCGTGTCAAGTATCATACAAAGTAAATACTGAGTAGCCCCTTCAAGATACGTAAAGCCTCATTTGACAGCCGTATATCCTATCTGCCTATTCAATAGCAGGTAGTCGTTTATACACAACTAAAGTGACGGAGTACTTTATGTAGATACCTAGATACTGAAATACAGCAAATCCGGGATACGATAAATATACAGCAGCATAATGCCACAAACGTCCGATCAATATTTTGATACTCTATTCGTTTGTCTCTTCCTTCTTAGCGCCCCCATTGGCCTCCTCCTCAAGCTGCGTCCTTCTGCTCTCCAACGCAAGCCATAATCCCTTGCTGTGACCCTCCAGCGCCGTCGTAAGACCCAGACCGGCGCTCTGGAGCATGGCGACAAGCTGCGCCCTCAGAGAATCGACGCCGCCCTCGATGCCGCCGACCCACTTGACACCGTCGTGGTCGAATACCCGATCCTCTATACGGCCACCTACTAAAAGTAACTTCTGTAACCCGCTCTGCGCCGTAGCTTCGTAGTATCCCGGGTTCTTCTTTCGCGAGGGCGCGGGGAACGCCGGAGACGAAGGTGCTAATACTGATATCACGGCCGCTAGGTGAGCCGGAGAGACGGTCGGGAAAGTGATAGCAGCAACGGGTCCAACGAGCAGCGGGGCGACCTGAGCATACGCCGAAGACTCATCGGCGGCAGCGGCAGCCTGTTTGATAGCTTCGTACGCCGTGGAGGACAAGTCATGCGTGTAGGCATTAGACTTGGATTTCTGCGCTTCGGCGTCGAAAAACTCGACTACTTTAAAAGCGACGTTAAAGATGCGCGTACGAAGAACCTGTAGCTCGATGGTCGACGAAATATCTACAGGTATACTGCTGCTATCGCCGGGCTCGACGACGGGCGTTGGAACCTTAGCGAGGGCCGCGCGTAGCTCTCGCCGGATAGCAGCCCATTCTACAGCGGTGAGGTTGTTATGTTGGAAGAATAGGATTAGGGGCGTCGAGCGGAGTAGAGCCGTATAAGATCTGAGGAGTTGTGATTTCCGCTGGTCGGGTCGTCGTGCGCTCGGGGGTTGCGTCGGTGGGATATAATTATCGGGGAGTCTTAAACCCCCAATTGGTATAGGGGAGGCGGATGCGCTCGCATAGCATCTTGATGCGCCTCTTGAGTTTTGTAGTAAGATAACCGTAGGCTTTTGACAGCTCGTCGTCCTTTGAAGCGCTCGACTGACACTGCTCCGCGCCGAACAATTGATTCGTGGGGGCATCTCTTATAACGACTTAGAGGGTTCTCGTGCGTATTGCCAATTCGTACGCCCTCGAGAAGCTTCAGCGACGTTGCCTTATCGTCGGGCGTGGTGCTACCTTTTTTGGTATAATTTTGCTCCGAATTGAAGATTGGCGAGAGCTTCAAAACTTGGTCCAATTGAACTCAAAAGGCCTGTGCTCAAGGTTAACCCCACTAAAAAGTTAAGTTAACGATTACATAAGCGGTAGATCGCTGCCAAGTCCCAGGGTCCCGCCGGAAAAGTCCCGCTACGGTGCATACTGCATAAATAGAACGGCTCGATAGGTACATATTTCGCGGGGTACTATTCGGTATCGTAGATCGCTAAACATATCAATTCGCAAACGGCTTTGAGTCACAACCAAAGTAAAGAGCTTTGGTTCTGCAAGCCAATTCGACCTCCAACTCTTTTCCGTGTTCTATACGTAAATAATCCTTAGAGCTACAAGTTAGATTGCTTCAATTGAGGTAGCGGGCCACTCGTTGGTCGAAAGATCGTCTATCTCGTAACAACTTACCCTCCAAGCTTAGACAAGGATCACCGAATAGCTTCAAGATCGATAACGTTATGGCCGAGCAAGACCAAACTTTCGTGGATATCCGGCCGCTGCTTCAGCGCCTATGGCCCGATCCAGCTAAAGAAAAAGTAACTTCTAAAGAAATCGCTGATGCCCTCGCTCTCATCTTCACCAACCAGCTTAGCCCCGTCCAGACCGGCTCGCTGCTGACAGCTCTGCACTTCACCGGCTGGGACCGCCGTGCCGATGTCCTCGCCGAGGCATCCGCAGCTATGCGCCGTCACGCTGCCAAGATCGATTCCGCTGCTCTCGAAAAAGTCATTGCGAATCGCCGGCGACCTGAGGGAAAGTATAACGGCGGGCTAGTAAGTCATTCTCTATCCCCAAAGGAGTGCGACTATGATAGCAAATATTTAAAACCAAATCTAATGGACAGATAGTGTGACATAGTTGGCACGGGCGGTGACTCTCACAATACCTTCAACATATCAACCACATCTTCTATCCTCGCCTCCTCTCTCCTTCTACTAGCCAAGCATGGAAACCGTGCTTCGACATCTAAATCCGGCTCTGCCGACCTACTTATGAACATGCAACCGACACCCGCGCAGCTGGGCCGCATAAACCCCTCTACTATTACCGACGTATACGCCCGCACCAACTACGCTTTCCTATTCGCCCCCGTCTTCCATCCCGGCATGAAACACGTCGCGTCCGTACGCAAGGAGCTCGGCTGGCGTACCATCTTTAACCTACTCGGGCCCCTAAGCAATCCCCTCGGCGACGCTATCGAAGCCCGTATGTTGGGTGTTGCCCGCGATGATTTGGGCCCTGTATTTGCCGAGGCTCTACGCATCTCCGGCGCTAAGAAGGGCCTCGTCGTATGTGGCAAGGAACAACTAGATGAGGTGTCGTGCGCTGGACCCACGCTATGCTGGCAGTTGGTAGAACATGCCAGCGGAACCATAGACGTCGAACACTTTACGCTAGAACCGGCCGATTTTGGGCTAAGCACGCACCCGCTAAGTACCGTGTCTCCTGGTCGCGAGCCGCACGAGAACGCCGAAATCCTACGACGCCTATTAAATAACGAGTTACCATCTAACGACCCGATCCTCGAGTTTGTGTTGATAAACACAGCGGCGTTCCTAGTCGCTTCAGGGATCTGCGAGGCCGACGAAAGCGCCATGGGATCCGGCGATGACGGGAAAGTTATTAAGGAACGCGGGCCAGGAGGCGGTCGCTGGAAGGAGGGTGTACGCCGTGCGCGATGGACTATAGAGAGTGGCGAAGCGTGGAAGCAGTGGAGTGCTTTTGCCGCGGTTACGAATAGTTTACCCGCTTAAGACTCGTATTGTTTCTTTGAGACGCTGATTTTTCAAGACATAGGGAGACTTATATTTTCTCCGTTTCAAGTTGATACCAGAGAAACAGGGTCGGAGGCACGCTGGGCTATACCAGCTATAATTGATGTCTACGACGGGGTAGATGTAAAATCGGGAAAGGATAAAAAAGGTCACGACATTAGCTTGGCATGGAAAAGGGGCAAGGGAATTCAACTCGAGAAGGATGCCTATTTCCAGTATACTTAAAAGTTCCTTTGGCTAAGTCTTTAGATTCCAGTGGCATTTGCTAATAAACGTAAATGCTTTATGTCACTAATGATAGCCGTTCTATAAGGGGTCAAATCGATCAAATAAAAGACTGAAGACACGGCAAGGTAGGTATCTAGATATGGTAAGGGGATTTCCACTAATTAATAAAGACTACTCGTTAAACATACGGTAACCTTAATACATACAAACCCGCCATCAACATAGGTACGTAGGTAGACAACTCCAGGGTCTCGCGATTCTCTGAGGCTAAGATGAAATAATCCGAGTATAACGGCTCCTCTTCTCAACTCCGAAATCATGCTTTTGATATATCATCGCTTTTATGCACCCTTACCTCTTCCTCGACCCCTACCCCTACCGCCGCCCCCTCTACCTCTTCTGTTTCTTCCACCTCTACCCCGATTTACCTGGGTATCTCGTAAATCAGATAATGGCTGCTTTCTAGATTCCTATTTCGACAGCACGCCGCGGACGCTTCCTTTGACCGTGGTCTTACCCTCAATAATCCGCTCGCCGATGCCCGTGTCGGCTCCGCTGCCAACCTCGAGCCACCGTTTGAGTAGGTCGTTGCTCTCCTTGGGTTTCACACTATCGTCGCGTGTGCCAATCGTTATGTGCGGTATCTTATTGACACAAGTCCACTTCTCCTCTTCGTCGATAATGCGCACAACTATAGCCATAATACGGTCGTCGTATACGACGCGCTCTAGCTGGATATTGCATTCCCCTAATTTCCCATCCTGGCTCTGATTTCCCGCATTCAGCGACGTATACTTTTGCCATAATTCCGGGTGCTCCTTAGCCGCTGCGCGGTGCATCAGCGTTACGTGAAAGAGGGCCTGGACGCGGCGGGTCTGCTGCAATTGTCTGTAAAATCGTTGCGTCTGCGCATCTGCACCCTTAAAGGCGGATTCGAGAGCTACCTTGATATCTTGAGCGGGCACAGAGATAGACATATACTCTAGCGGTTTTTTCTTCGGAGGCTGCGGTTCTTGATTGTTTGTCTGCTGGGTCTGTTTCTTATCTTGCTTTTTGCTTCGGTCTGGGATGGTATGCCTCAAATCGGGCTTATAATCCTCGATGGCAGCCTTGACGGCTTCGTCTATTTCTTTGTCGGCAGGCACCTCAGCTACCAAGGACGGGAATTTCCGGTGCAACTCCCTAACTACCGTCTCTACGTTGGCACGGCTATCTTGGGTGGGGTCTAGATCGATGATGAGATCAAATCCGTCGTCGGGACTATTCTCCGGATCGCAAGGCTGGAACCTTTGAATAAAATTTTCCATAATCCCGATAACCTTAGCCTGGTCCGTAGCGGCTTGGATGGTCTGGTGATTATCTCCCCGTGTCAGTACTCGTTCCCTAGTCACTCTTCGGATCTCGTCGATGTCTCCGTGAGCAAAATTTAGAGCAACGAGCCGCGCCTCTCTGTGTTGTAACTTGATATCCTTGATGATTTGTTCTCGCTCCCGGCGCTCCGAGTTGTTCCGATCTGCTATAACGACGGGATGTTCGTCGAGAAGCGATAAGACGGATTGAACCATTCTTGTAGGTCGCTGCTTGCCTTGTATGTTATCGTTTTGGACAATACCCCAACCGAACAGATGTGTCAGGGCGATTCCGACGGTAGTCTTGCCACAGCCGATAGTCGCGATAGGGACTAGGACGACATCACGAGAGACGGATTCCAACTCGTTGTTTCCGAGCTCGTTTTCCATATTAGCAGCTTCCGAGCCCTTCATGTGCTTATATGCCAAGAAATCATCGCGAAGGGCAATGATTCCGTGGTTCTGACTGTAGGCTTTCGCCAACTTAGGGTCCGAAGCAAGTCTCTTGCGTGCGTACATGAGGTATTCGTTTGTAATCTGAACGTGTTTCTTGTACTTTGGGGGCTTTCCGGCGATTACGGCCTTCGTACATTCTCGCCACTGCCTGTATAACAAATACGGCTCTTCAAACTTGAATTTGAAAAACCAGTCTGAGTACGGTATCTCGTTAGGTTTGGGGGACATTTTGCAACGAATGACAAACCCTTCAACATCCCGGCCTTCATGCGCTCCTGACTCGGCAACCCCTTCTAAAAAGGATTTGACAGAGTTAGCATCATCAAAAGTCTTAAGACTAACTTTGCGGAATCCCCATTCGTCGGCGAACTGCTGGACTAGAGTACCAGAATATGTCACGAAATCAGGAACGTTGACGTTGATTCCGTGAAGGTAGAGGCCGGCCTTTTCGGGGCCATAAGCGAGGATGTGTTCTTCAAACTCGTCATCACAAAGCTCAGCCACGGCGGTCACATTTCTTCGTCTTAGTTCCCGGGAGAATTCTTCTCTAGTCTTCCCGATGGTGGCGAGCTGCTTGTCAACCCATCGCTCGCCAGCGCTAGCATGGCTTACTTCGACATCGCTACGATCCCCGGTGGAATGTTTGCTGCAGATAAGAAGGGATCCGTCTTCGAGACCGCTGATAAAAATAATGCAGCCGTTTTCCTTTAGGGTTAACTCGTATGGGCCTTGGGTTTTAGTTAAGATATTTTCCCATTTCGTGTCAGAGACCTCTCCGACGTTGAAGAACTTGTCATAGCCCCTGATTGCAATCTCATGATCTCCTCGGCGATTCTTGGTTGTAAAGAGACCCCTGGCGTAAGTAGGTAGGTGTTTCTTCTTGTAGTCCCAGTCGTGCAGGCGCCAAGAGTCAACTGTGATGCCATCAGGAGATCCCTTCACTTCGAATGTAGTCTTCTTTGCCTTGATACCAGTATTGGCCTTGTTGCTTAGACCGCGGATTAGGACTGATACCTCATGGGGATCTTGGTCACGATATGGTACTTTGGGGGTTTCCATGGTTGATTGCTGATGAGTGGTAGACGATGATTCCGGTTTGGGTATTCCGCCAAGATGAGCTGTGTGCCTAACAAAAGTAAAGTTCGGGTTTACTCTACGCAACTCCGGACGTAGAGTAAATTGTGATTGTGAATTTGCGAGAGTACTGATAAGTCGAGATCTGGTACGATAACGTCTTATTAGCTACTTAATCTGCAGGCAGCCGTAGAATTCAATACGATGACGTCTCATCAGCTACTTAATCTGTAGGTAGCCGTAGAATTCAAGTAAGCCTAAATAGGCTGACAAACCTCTTCTTTAATATAAGGAAAAGGGGCGTTAGGTACCTGAATATTATAGAATTAGCCTTAGGAAGGAGAACTGTTCGGTTGCTGCCGGCCTGAGTCAGATGCCGATACTTTTGACTGAATAATGAAGGATTGATCATCATCCGTATTAGACACGCCGCCTCTTTACCAATGCGCCTTTGCTCTGTTTAAACTCGATTTAGACAGCCTAACGTATAATATCTTTGCCAAGTAGGAAACCTTAGGTAATAATGGCATAACAGGTAACCTTCGCCGTTGAGTCATTACCTACACTTAGGTAGTTACACTGAGTTTAATATTGACACTATAAACTTACCCTAGGCATAGAGGAATTAAGCCTTAAACGGAAGGCGGTCAATACGTATAATACCTATTTTATACAGATAGCGGGGTAATTAGCGAGGGGCTGAGGGGTTCAGATTTTATTTTGCCAATATGCGTCATACCGATGTCAGTCAAACTACCGATGCCGATTTTTCATACGGCCTATTAGGATTAAGACAGGCATTACAGCAAACCAGGACTTCTAATTATTTTATTTTCATATTAGTACCGAATTGCTGCCTGGTTTAACCCTCGTTCAATTCAACTATCCCAGTACCTAATCACCATGTCTGCCAATCCATTCCTCTTAGCTGCCGACAATAGCCCAGATCTACTACCTCTCCTTCGAGAGAATCCTAGTCTAGCTTCAGAACAGGATCCTCACGGCTACTCCCTGGTTCATGCGGCAGCAAGTTATAACCATCTCGACCTCCTTCGTTCTCTAATTCGCGAGTTTAATGTGGATGTCAACTTGCGCGACGAGGACGAGGAGACGGCTCTTTTCGTCGTTGAAACTGTTGAAGCTGCTCGCGTTCTAGTTGAGGAGCTGGGGGCTGATATTACAATCAAAGGCTCTGAAGGATATACGGCTTTCCAGAAAATAGTCGAAGAGGGTGATTTCCCAGAGGTTGCCGAGTACCTAAAAAGCAAGGAAGAGGCCAGTCGCGGACAAGCCCTGTCGAATGGGACCGATAGGACCAATGGGGACATAAACGCCGCGCCGCCTGTACCAGAGGGCCTCAACATATCTGTTAGCACAGTTACGCCTGCAGAGGAGACCGAACTCGAAGTTGATCCCGAATTTCGAAGAAGGATAGAACAGTTGGCTGAACGGGACGACTTTCACTCCGATGCTGGCCAAGCTGAGCTCAGGCAGCTAATCCAAGATGCCATAGCGGAACGTAATCCTGCGGATCGCAACGTTCGTCCGAGGCAAGACTAGCCAGATTGGATTCATCGACTAGAAATACGATACGTATCTCAATTCTGTTTCCTGATATCCCAGAGAAGATATTCCCTTGGCGAGTTAGGTGGTCTAAAGATGGTACAATCGGCGCTATCTCCTGCGATATCCCTCGCGAATGTTGTAGTGCTTAGCGAGAACCATGACTTGGCTGGCAGGGCGAGTATTACCTCCGCCAAGGTTTGTCGAGTCCACCTTGGCGGAATAAACCCTTGCCAGCTAACTCGGCACAGCTTGCCTTCCTGAAGGTCGTCTGGGGCACCGGGAACGGTGTAATTGGACAAATACGGATCGATCTTGTCATCTATGTTGATTCGTGGACTATCAAGTCGGACTAGAGACAGCCACTCATATATGTCCGTAGCGAATTCATCCAGGTCTAACTGGCTTTGACTCGATAGGATAGAAATCGGAGGTTTCAACGATGGTAACTTCGTAGAAATATCCTTAGAGATCTTGGGGTGTGATGTATACTTGACGGGATAATGCCGTGAGAGAGGGTCAGGGACAGGTGCTACGCCATACGACTATCAGTAATAACAAAAATTAAAAAAAATGATATGGATAACTCACTCTTGGAAAGATTATTAAAAAGCCAGGTGACGGGTGCGTTGAAAACGTTCTTACACGCATATGCCAATCTGTCAAAGCCTTTCTTGCCGTGGAGCATCGATGGACTCCGGAGATCGAATTGTACAACTTTAGGGGCTGATTAGTAGTCATGACAAAGGCATAATTGAATTAATCGTACCCCATCTCGGTTTAAGTCCTCGTTTGCCCTTGACTCCATGTGGCTTTCCAACAAGCCCAGCTCGTTCATACGTCTCTTTGTCGAGATACATCGTAAGCACGCCTAGAATGTATTATTAGTCATGTGAATAACAACTATTACAAACATATCTGAGATGTGTATACCTTCTTTCAGCAAAAACACGTTCTCGGAATCTATTCTTCCCTCCGAGAGCATCATGATATTGCCTTATCATCTATCAATTCCAAAATTCGTGAGGCGATAGTAGCTGGAACCCCAATTACCTATCTTGATGTATTCGGTGAAGAAGTCACCCTCTAAGATTTGACCGACTGTCATGATAACCTTATGAAATACAGGTGCTCGACTCGGATCACCTGTGAGCTTGTCCTCGACGAGCTGCACTAGTTCCGCCGGGAGGATTAGATCTACCTAGGTATAACGTATCAGCAAGTGTTTTGGATGGATTATGTAGATATGGGTATTCATACTTTGTGCACAAAGTCTTGCGACAGTAACGTGCTCCATGGCTTTCCCTTGCTTGATAAATTTTGGGGATCAGGACGGCCCATTACTCCGTATGTGACAAAACATTTTGAGGATTGATAAACGCTCGGCGCTGAGAACGAAAACATTATTTAGGGTGGGAATATTGAAACCGCGAATAATAGATCTCACATTCATATAGAAATGTAATGCCCAGAATCTGGAGGATGACATTGAGATATTGAGAAACTTGAACTCAAGTTACAATAACCCTCCACCGTAAAATTACGGCCTCTCTTATAGCACTACAATGTTTTAAAGAATACTAAGTCAAGCAATCTGAATGAGTAAATCGCACTAAAGCGGGCCATGCAAAAATCAATAGTAGCGCCATACCAAGCACTCGGCCATTTTTCTCTTAGAAACACTCCCTCTTTTTACCATATGCTGTTTTCACATTTGTGAAACCCACACACGGATTCATTCGTTACCTGGTGACTCAAGTGGCGGCTATCGAGCAAGATTTCTGAACCTCAGATGGAGCGGCTTATAAGTAGAGACGAAATATTCAGATTAATCTGCCCTTAGCGACTACGAGACGCCCGAGCCTACAATGGAATACATCATTCGTTTCTCTCAGTCTCACGAGAGTTTCCGTTTACCAGAAATTCAGTCGCTCGCTATTGTTGAAGGTCTTGATCTAGAAGTTATTTCCTATAGCGACGAGGTAATAATCTATGCCATTACTGGTTTACTCGAAAATTCATACTTACGACTCTCTAGTCGCCTTTCTGCATAGTCCGGTTAGAGTCTGAAGATGCTGCAAAAGCTCTCCTAAGGCGCTCCGTGTTGGCGCAGACTATCCATGAGCATTGGGGTACTGCCGAGACATATGACGAACTACACGCCGCCGTCAAGCGTGATACTGCTCACTTATGGCCTAAATATAAAGATGTCTCGTTTAAGATTAACATAGACGCTTACCAAGGCTCCCGGTCGGATAAGAATAAATTGGCACTCATAAATACCTTTGCCTATCTTCCTTTTGAAGGATTAATTCTTCTAAAGTCTCCAAACCAGGAATTTACTATATTCGAACAGTGGGAATTTGATTCCGTACCGCGTAACCTACCTAACCCCTTAAAGATACACTTCGGCCGTCTCGTAGGTCATAGCGTGCGCGAGTTGATCAAAACCTACGACCTCAAAAAGCGAGGATATATCAGCACGACCTCTATGGACTCGGAATTAGCTTTAGTTACGGCCAACATTTCCCTTGCCGCGCCAGGGAAGATCTTCTACGACCCCTTTGTCGGGACTGGAAGCTTTCCCATAGCATGTGCGCATTTTGGCGCCCTCGGCCTAGGAAGCGACATCGACGGCCGTAGCGTCAGGGGCGAAGGTGGGAAGAAGAGCTTAAAAGGTAATTTTAAGCAGTACGGGCTGGAAAGTCTGCTTGGCGGCGTTTTTGTTAGCGACTTGACCAACAGCCCCGTACGAAGAGCGCGGATACTCGACGGCATCGTCTGTGATCCGCCGTACGGCGTGAGAGAGGGATTAAAAGTTCTCGGGTGTAGAGACCCGGAGAAGGACGCCTGGCTCGTGGAGAAGGGAAAGCGGTCGTACCAGTTGGTTATGTATTCCCAGAAAAACCGGATGTTAATCGCTAACAGAAGTCAGAAAACCGACATTTGTCCCTCCGAAGAGACCATACAGTTTTACAGCTATGTTAGATGACATATTGGATTTTGCCTCGGATACTCTAGTGGATAACGGTCGTCTGTCTTTCTGGATGCCGTCGGCTAATGACGAAGAGCAAGAAATCCCTATACCAACGCACCCGTGCCTAAGCGTCGTGGTCGTCTGCTCGCAGGTGTTCAATAAATGTATGCTTGTTATATATCCACTTTTGTGGGTGTCTCGACTGACAAGGTTCCTCAGGGTCACGAAGGCTAATTACTTACCGCCGTCTACCGGATTCGGATGTTGACGTGGCTGCGTTGGCGCAAAGGAAGCGGGAAGAACAGGTGAAGGGCCGTACTGCAGATGACTTAAATTCGTTCCGCCGAGCGTATTTTAGGGGGTTCAAACCAGAGGAAGCGAACGCAGATGTCGTGGGTGGGTGATTAATAGAGGGATCCTATTTCGATGATCTTCTCATACCTCCTTTTCAATAGGAGGGAAAGTGGGTACTTACTATGCTGGGGATTGGCACCAAGCTGACGAGATGAATCCTTTGAGTGCGACGTGATCCTAAAGCTGATTGCGGGGATTAAGTACGCGCAGTTGAGGTTCAAGATGAAGTCTAACAAAATATCAGATAACCTCATTCGAAAATCGTCATCTTGGTATATTTTGTATCGCTATAAGAAAGGGAAGGTTAGGATTGATAAATAGCGCTAATCGTAGCCGCAACCCCTATTCCCAAATAATTTCCATATTTAGGCGTGTATAGCTACGTACTTAGGTACATACCTTTCCGACTCTTAGGTATAGTAATATTCAGCTCTGAACGTAACAATAAAATAGGACCAGGCTGATAGAACTTTCGGTGATTTACTCATTTGACAATTGACTACGCTAAGCCCGGTGCAGGAAACTACATTAAGCTGTCTAGACTTCCCCTCATATCCACTGCTCCCGCTCAGCCGTCGAGCAAGGTTCTCTTTGCGTCTTCACGCAGTCTGGTCTTCACGTGGTTGTTTAAGTGGAGGTTGGCGACATACGTGTATTATAGAACCGAATATTCAGCACGCGACGCGCCGCAAGTTCGGTAACTCGGAGTTGACGAGAATGTCGTGATCAACGTAAATACTTGCCTAGGTATCTAACTATAAAACAAGTCGAGTTTATAGTCGCCGTTTAATTAAGCTTCTCTACACAGCTTTTAGTCGGCGCCACCAGTGTTGCAGTCAGAACTTGTTGACAAGCTACTCGTTAAGCAACTTACCGCATTGCGCGGCATGCATGATGTGTACATGTATGCAGCACATGGCACATGATGTCTAAGACACGCATGAGGCAGCACGCTCATAGAAGAAAAGCATCATAGAATTCGAGTGAACACATTCCCATTCGATACTTCCGGATGCGAACCAAGTATGCCGTGTAGTGAATGACATTAGCATATACAATTCTCAGTTTTGCTTTTGGTAGTTTTACATATAGGTAGGTAGTATTCTATCGTATAATTCTTGCAAGTTCTAATTATTGCGTCGTCATTCAAATTTCTAATTATTGCGTCTCATTCAAAACTCGTTGCTGACTGTTGAGATAATTAGCGTAATATTGTTCCTGGCTTCTAGAATCCTGCTCTGTATTCCGTAAGGATTCTATTAATATTATATCGTACGGTCGTCGCTATCGGGCTCTGCTTATCTATTACCTCGTCCCTGCCATGTGCTTCTTATTCCCAGTCGCATAAGGGCTTATGCGCACTTCATGCGGTGAAGGTACCAAGGCCAAGGGCTATACTACGGGTCTAATAATAGGCTCACCGCCCCTGTCCACCCTAGTTATTGGGTCCTAATTCTTCTCCACCCCCAGACCAAGGCTCCAACGCCTGCTACAACGCCTGCCTTTTGCTACAATCCTGCAACAAGTTTAAGCCGACATTCACGAGTTTACGTACGGCTTTAGTTTCTTACGACCCTTTTTTTTGGGACCTCTCTCCAATCTTCCTCATTGCTCATGCTAACCAACCTCTAAACTTCTACCTCTGCTTGATTGACATCACGAGATACTTCTTTTTCTTCTTTTCGGCGCTGTTTCTTAACCTTTTCTATTATCTTTTTTTACTAGGACCAATCTTACATTAATTTACTTGTACATTTTTGGGTTGGCACATCACATAGCATAAGGCTTCATTGTCCAACCTTACGCGCAAGCCCCCTTCGCGTTGTTACGAGAGACATCACTTAAAAGAGAGACAAAGAGTCGCCACGCAAATTTCCCATCAACCACACAACATCCAACAGTCATGCCTAGTAATCCACCCCCAGAACTCCCTCCAAGAACGCATAGTTCATCATGTCCCGACCCCGAAGAAGCGTTCCGATTTACGGGTAGTAGTTGGCGATCAACTCAAGATGGACTCGAGATGAATATCGATAGTCCAGAAACGTCATCATCCCCTGAACCAGTCAGCGCACCACTCGCCGATATTCAGCACGGCACTTCAGACTCGCGATCCGCTACAGAATCCCCTAGACCGGATTCGATGAGTCGCGAATCCACACTCTCTCCTGACCGCCCCGGCACGTTATCCCAAACCACGTCAGCGCATAAGCCCACCGATGCAGAGCACGATGCATCGGCCAGAAGTGACACAGATGCGCCGTCAGGGCCGCAGCGATCGAGCGGCAATTACGACATTGTAACTTCCATCGGCGCGGACGGTGAGAAATTGGAATATGGTGTAATGCCCGGTCGGTTGCAACCGGGGGACGCTTATGCGCCTTCGATGGGATACGACCATTCCAACATTCGAGTAAGTTCCATGCGCCCCTATTTTTAAGGGGAATAAGCGACTATACCTATTGCCGTGACGGATTTATTTGTGCTAACGTCGTTCAAGATAATACCGACATCTCCCTCATCTTTCCTACGGCCAGGTAGTAAATTCCATGGCACACAACAATCGGAGCGGCAAGTATACGACGTGCAAGTCGAAATAAAATATGTCGACTTGCGGGAGTCATTCCTCTGCGGCTTTCTTAGGATTCAGGGTATGTCAACCAGTTTTACCACTCGTGTCTAATTCATCTCATTTCGTCGAATTCTGTTATATCGACCAAGTCGGTGTGGCGCATCACCCCCTCATCCACCCCCAACCTCGGGACCCAAAACCACATATGCTAACATGACGTACGACATCCAGGCCTGACTGAAGATAACCCGACGCTGACAACGTATTTCGAGGGCGAGATTATCGGCAGCAAATACGAATTTATCACGAAGCACGCGGGCTGGGGTGCAACGGATAAAATCGACCTGAGCCACTGGAGTAAATTCACAGCATTCCGACAGTACGCCAAACAAGTGCGCAAGGGACCTGTTACCATTCCGAACTTAGCTCAGCGAGAAAACATTTTTATGCGCTGGAAGGAACACTTCCTGGTTCCCGACCATCGCGTCCGCACCATTAACGGGGCCAGCTTCGAGGGCTTCTATTATATCTGTTTCAACCAGAAGGAAGGAAGCGTCAGTGGTATATATTTCCACTCCAAGAGCGAGAAGTATGTTTTTCCCCCTGCATCTGCCCCCTGTTGTGCTTCATATATGCACAAACGTGTACCCATCAAATTCCGCGTTTTCATTCTACCCACCAATACAAGAGCATTGTTGCTAATACCGATTTTCGTCGTAGATTCCAGCAGCTAGAGCTTAAGCACGTAGAGGACAGAGGGTGCTTCGGCGCCGTGGAGTTTCGATAGCCGTACGGAAATGAATGATAAGGTAGTTGATGCTCGGCATGTGGACGTCAGAATAGTAGTAGTGAGTAATTTTTGGCAGACGAAGGAATCGTACGGGGTGGTATAAACTGGCATCTCAATTTCTACAACGCAAATAGGGAGGAGTACGGAACTCGACACCGAGCATAGTCCAGCGCAGCGGTCTGGGTCTTAGTCTCATTTTTTTTAAAGGGAGGTATCACATCACGTTCACGACAGACGGGATTACTGCAGCATTTCACAACTTCGCGGTAAGGGGGTATATTGTAAGGGGTTCAGGGGAAATGCCGTACTACTCTATGTATACATAATGATGATCATAAACTCGCACTTGTGCGCCTTATCTATCTTAGCTCTTCAAGAGATGGGTTTGATCTTGAAATGAAGTGACGTCAAGCTGAAGACGAGCGCCTTTAGGTCTTGCACCAGGTAGTAGAATACCCGTAATCCTTCGGGGTCTGCCGATTCCGTTACGTCGATTAGGGAACCAATCTTGGCTGTCTATAATTGTTATTGGAATTAGTACTCGTTCTACAATGGCATCTAGGCCAAGTTACGGGGCAGAGAATGGGATCTACTCGCCTCGAATGATATGTGATCGTTGCCTACGCGAATCTCCAATTCCTGTCTACCATCCTTGTTCTTCTGCGGCCACTTGGCGTCGTCTTCCTTCATGATTTCGCTCGTCTTGACGATACGCTTAATCTCATCTACCACCAACGAACTGACACACACTGTTTTCTGGTTAGCCTTATTTTTTACTACTTCGAGTTCTTCGTTCCGGAAATGGGCGGTAGTTCGCTCGAGGGCTAAATAGGTGACATACTCTCTTTTCGGATTAGACTGTCGTTTCTGTAGTTGGAATTGTTTGCGTATCGAGCTACGGCGCTTCGACCGTCGCCTACTACTCTAATATCGAACTCTATGTTATTGTCAATTTGTCTTTTCTGTAGGTGCGTAGGTAGGACCGAAGAGCGGCGGCATCGTAGGCACGCGTACCTAGAAATTCATGACCGAATCGACCGGAGTGACCTGAGCTGTATTGGTCAATTAGCTTCAAGTTTCAAGCTTCGCGTCTATTTGCAGCTTGCACGTACTAATATCGGATGTAGAAAGGCTCGCCGGTGGAGGCCATATTGGTAGTTAATAGTTAATCTGGTTGTTGCGAATAATACAGCTGGCTGTACGAGTACGGAAAGACAATACTTGGTCTCAGATTGGGCTTGGTAAGTTTAATGACGGTATGTAGTACTGCGTTCCAGAAGGCGTTACTAGATTTAGCCTTGTCAATGTTGCGACGAGGCTTCACTGAAGATGGCTTGGCAGTGTAGCTCTAGAAAGTTTCGGCGGGGCAGGGGGGCAGCTAAGATGTGCGTGGGAACTTTGATGCTGGAACTGAAGCACATGTATAAAGTACCTAACTACGTACTTAAGTACTTGATGTTACGTGATTAAAAAGCGTAAGCCACAAGAACAGGCACACCCTGGGATAGCCCCGGAAGTTAAGTTGAGGCTGGCTCATACCTAAACGATCTCACCTGGCTAATATTCGGGTTACGGATTATTTAATTCAACGTTGCATACGAACCAATCAAATCGCCATATTCTTTCAAACCCAATCCATTTCAGGAGGGACAGATTTGTGCCAGTTGCTGGACCTTTGGATTTTGGGGCCAGCCTGGACTGATTATTGTTAACAGCATAACAACATCACCGCCGTTCACCTTTCCCGACCCAGCCCAATTTCCTCTGGGATGCATGATCGCATTGACCTCGTTAAACCACCTCTTCAACTGCTGGGACGGCTCTTCTAATTGTTCAATTCTATTTCGGCCTTGTATTTACGATACGAATCTACACGAGCCCTCGAGCCTTACGTCGCCGAACACGACCTCCAATATAATACTTCAACTGTCTACCTAAGCTTTATCTAACTCTCCTCCTTCTCGTCGGTCTATCCACCTACATACGCCCTTATAGATCTCCCCGAGTTTACCACGCCGGCGAGAGCCGCAACAATTGCCCAGCATGACGACCTTCCTCGAGAATGCCTACAGCTTGGTCCACCAGGACAATACCGCAGATGTCCCATCCATGTCGGACCTGCGCATGCAGCTGGAGAAGGGCACAGACGAGACAAAGGTCGATACTATGAAGCGCATCTTAACCGTCATGTTGAACGGTGATCCTATGCCTCAGCTCCTTATGCACATCATCCGATTCGTTATGCCTTCGAAATATAAGCCTTTGAAGAAACTATTGTACTTCTACTACGAGATCTGCCCCAAGCTCGACTCCACCGGTAAACTAAAACAGGAGATGATTCTTGTCTGGTGAGTACAGAAAAGAAGTTGCGAATAGCATACAAACCCGGTTGCTGACAGCTCTGGACGTTAGCAATGGTATTAGAAATGATCTTCAACATCCGAACGAGTACATCAGGGGAAATACGCTGCGATTCCTCTGCAAGTTACGAGAGCCAGAGCTGATCGAACCCCTACTATCCTCGGCTCGGGCCTGCCTTGAGCATCGCCACGCCTACGTCCGAAAGAATGCCGTATTCGCCATCTCTTCCATCTTCTTACATTCGCCGTCCCTAATCCCAGATGCTTCCGAGCTGATCGCCGCCTTCCTCGAGGGGGAAAGCGATGCTACTTGCAAGCGCAACGCCTTTTCTGCTCTGGCTAGCATTGACCACGAGAAGGCGTTAGTATACTTAAGCTCCGTCTTCGAGGGGATTCCAAACGCCGAGGAATTACTACAGTTGGTCGAGCTCGAGTTCATTCGAAAAGACGCGGTTCAAAATTCCCAGCACAAGGTAAAACAGCCCAGAATCCAAGTTGGTGGGCTGGCGACTAACAATCGCAGGCTCGTTATTTGAGACTCATTTTCGATCTACTCGAGGCTGGAGCTTCAACCGTCGTTTACGAAGCTGCCTCGTCCTTAACAGCGCTGACCAGCAACCCCGTTGCGGTAAAGGCGGCCGCGGCTAAGTTTATCGAGCTCAGCATCAAAGAGGCCGACAACAATGTGAAACTTATCGTTCTCGACCGAGTAGACCAGCTGCGACAGAAGAACGAGGGCGTGCTAGACGATCTAGTGATGGAGATCCTACGTGCGCTATCTAGTCCCGATATCGATGTTCGACGAAAGGCCCTTACTATCGCGTTAGAAATGGTGTCTAGCAAGAATGTCGAGGAGGTTATTTTACTGCTTAAAAAAGAGCTGTCTAAGACCGTCGATCAGGAATACGAGAAGAATGCCGAATACCGACAGCTCCTCATTCATTCCATTCACCAGTGTGCTATCAAATTCTCAGAAGTAGCAGCTAGCGTAGTCGATCTACTCATGGACTTTATTGCCGACTTCAGCAATACTTCCGCCGTCGACGTCATCAGTTTCGTCAAGGAAGTAGTCGAGAAGTTCCCTAAGCTACGGCCCTCCATCGTCTCGCGATTGGTCGACACTCTTAGCGAGGTCAGAGCAGGCAAAGTCTACCGTGGAATTATCTGGATTATCGGCGAGTATTCTCTGGAAGAAAGCGATATTCGAGATGCGTGGAAGAGGATACGTGCGAGTCTAGGAGAGATACCTATCCTTGCCTCCGAGCAGCGACTATTGGACAACGTAGACGGCGACGAGGAGAAAGAAAAAGAGCAGGTCAATGGCCACTCGAAGCCGACGGCGCCGTCAGGCTCAAGGAGGGTCCTGGCTGACGGTACATATGCCACGGAAACAGCCCTTACTAGCGGCTCGGCCGCTGCCGCCAAACTGGAAGCTGTCAAGGCTGCTCAGAAGCCACCACTGCGACAGCTCATTCTCGAGGGCGACTACTACTTGGCCGCCGTTCTTTCGGCGACTCTTACCAAGTTGGTCATGCGTCATTCCGAGATCTCTTCGGACAAGGCCCGGACGAATGCTCTCAAGGCCGAAGCTATGTTGATCATGATTTCCATCATACGCGTTGGTCAATCGCAATTTGTCAAGGCTCCCATCGACGAGGATTCCGTCGACAGGATAATGTCCTGTGTTCGGTCGTTGGCGGAGTTCTCCGACAGAAAGGAGTTGGAAACGGTATTCCTCGACGATACGCGGAAAGCTTTCCGTGCTATGGTGCAGGTCGAAGAGAAGAAGCGGGCGGCAAAGGCTGCCTTCGAAAAGGCCAAGACCGCCGTCCAAGTTGACGACGTCGTTCAAATTCGACAGCTATCTAAGAAGAACGTAGCAGACGGTGCCGACGAGATCGAGCTCGACCTCGAGAAAGCAACTGGCGGAGAGTCTGTATCAGAGGACCTTTCGTCGAAATTAAGCCGCGTCGTTCAGCTTACCGGGTTCTCCGACCCCGTATACGCCGAAGCGTATGTGAAAGTACATCAGTTCGACATCGTCCTAGATGTTCTTCTAGTCAACCAAACGACCGAGACTCTCCAGAACTTGTCGGTCGAGTTCGCTACGCTCGGCGACCTCAAGGTTGTGGAACGACCTACTACGCAGAACCTTGGCCCGCACGATTTTCACAACGTGCAATGTACTATTAAGGTTTCATCGACGGATACCGGGGTTATATTTGGTAACGTAGTGTACGATGGAGCTCACAGCACGGACACCAACGTTGTTATTCTTAACGATCTACATGTGGATATTATGGACTATATCCAACCGGCAACATGTACGGAGACGCAGTTCCGCACCATGTGGACGGAATTCGAGTGGGAGAACAAGGTCAACATCAACAGCAAGGCCAAGAGCCTTCGCGAATTCTTGGAACAGTTGATGGCTTGCACGAATATGAACTGCTTGACGCCGGAAGCCAGCATGAAGGGCGACTGCCAATTCCTAAGCGCCAACTTATACGCCAAGAGCGTCTTTGGTAAGTTTTCACTATTACACCAGCTATTTGATAGTATCCGCTAATTATTTGCAGGCGAGGATGCTCTAGCAAATCTGAGTATCGAGAAGGAAGGCGAGGATGGACCAATCACAGGTTTCGTCCGCATAAGAAGCAGGTCGCAAGGACTTGCGTTGAGTTTGGGATCCCTCAAGGGTTTGAACAAGATTGGTACCGCCGCTGCTTGATGGAAGGGGAATATCTAGGAGTATATAATTTCCAGCGCAGTCCAATTCCCGTCTCGTAATGGTAACTCGTAGTCGTTAATGAGCTGACGAAGAGGGGCTTTTGGGAGGCTAAAAACGATAGAGTAGCGATATCCATGATTGATGTCGCAAATGGAACGAATGCTCGTGTCGAGATAGCACGGACTAAAAACGAGGTGCTGGGGTACCTCGGCTATGATTTAGACAATGCAAATTATTTACGACGAAGCATACGGTTATAGTGTTTTGTAATCTGTAGTGATGTGTGTATTAACGATCGAGTAGTTTCTCATTCTACTAAGATATTATTCATTGGAAAGTTTTTTTTTTTTTTTAATTCGCATTTTCCAATGAGGATTAATAATGAGGATTAATGTTAAAACTTTCCTAAGTTAAATTCGGTTTATAAGGTGATTAGATTTCCACGTTAGTAAAACCTTACGAGTTTTCATTTACTTTATTGGTTAAAGTTTAGCTGGGATACCTAAACGCGGTTAGTCGGAATTAGAATTAGAATACGTACCATTACTTTGCGTTATATATATTCGGAATCTAAAACCGAAGCCATCGGCTTTGGTTTTCAACGTTTTTAATTGGAAAGTTTCGCCAGCAAAACTTCCCAATTAGCACAACTTGTTGTGCTACAGGGTATTTTTCTAATAAGAAACTCCTGCTACATACTTGGACGAGTAGCTTGTCGCCCTCCTTAGCTGCCTGTTGTTTGCATGGTGTTTGGTGCCACGAAGCTGACAATCAATCATACTTGTATATATCAAAAGGGGGAATAATTAAATCGATAGGTAGTTGGTCTATAGTTTCTCACGCACGTACCGTATAACAATACCAGGATTGCGTGTTAAGCAGCTTGGCACGGCGGCGTGGAACCTCGACCGCGTTTTAAAACGGCCGCTATGTTGTTGTCTGTCAAACGACAAGCCCTTCATCGACATTTTGATATTACCGCCAAGTGTGGATAAGCTATGCGCCTTAGGAGGTAGGTATTGATTTTGATTTATCTAACGCGCTTCTACTATCTGCATTAGGAAGAATGTCTCTGCATAGGAGGTAGTTAGTACCGCAGAAAGCTAACGGTCTGGGGCATGTATAGGCGGCAAATCGCTCAGCTCGGCACACGCATGGTGGCTTTACTGGACCTCATCACTTGCAGGGCGGGAACGTCGATGTAGGTAGGTGTGTAAGACAGGCTGGTGTAAGATTTGGTTGGTAGGGTGTTAGGCATGAATGTCACAATGTGGGAGGATTGGCTACCGTGTGGTATACTATGTATGTGGTTGTGATGATGAAGGATGGATATACGAATATGCATTTTCAAACAGATGTCTAGAGATCTCGGTTGCTACCTAATCTAAGATTCTATGTTTAGTTCGTATGTTTCCTTCGTATGTTTTGCCTCGTACAAGACAAGCGTATGATCAACTACCGGGTTGTATGTTTTAATGTGTAATATTAATACCAAGTTAGCCGGGGCTTTTCAGGAGAATAGCTAATAAGAGCAGTAATAAGAGGAAGGGTTTCGTAAAAACCCTCGGGCTGTCCCGGTAGACAGGCACCCCCCCAGTCTCTAGTCTCTCGCAACATAGACTTTCAAGGTCCATCTACCGCGTAACCCAATATATTCATTATAGACTTTTATAGCTTACAACCTAGAGAATAGCTTGTGATGACCCCACGATCACACGACATCGCATATGCGCCTCGTTGATCTTCCCCGCTTTCTTTTCCTCTCGGCCCCCCATGTCTTAAACAACTAAAGAAACTGGCGTAAAAAAAAAGGTCAAAAAAGGTCTGGGCCATATGTTTCGTGCGTCACATCGTTCCATCTCGGCTCATACCCGTTCCATTTTCCCACGCTGGTCTTGAGATCCTATGTACATACATACGGTAGTGGCATAATCAAACGACAGCATGATTTACACTAGGTACCGGCGTCGAAGCCTTTTCTGGCTGGAACCCGGATGCGGATGGATCGTTAACATCTCCCGAAGAGTATTTATACTTCTAAATCCCATCTGTGCCTGCCAAGGAGACCTAGCTATCTCTTAGTTATGTATCTATTCCATAGCTACTTCTGTCATATGATTCTGCCCTAGAGTTTATGTGTCCTAGAGTTTAGAGCTGTCCTCTTGCTTTGACTAACTGGGAACTTTAACACGACACCATCAACTATATAAGAACTATATAAACCACCTTAAGAATCAAACCCAACTCGAAATCCCATTCACCTTCACCTCTAAACTCCTATCCGCTTGCGTCCTCTTCGATCCGTATCTTTCTTGTAGCACTTCCAACTTCCAAATACATATAACAAAATGCCTATCAAGTTCAACGCACCACGACCTTTCTCGGCCACGACGCCAGTCTACCCAAGCTACCTCCCCGCTCTACACAAGGCGGGGCGCATCGAGAGGAAAATGTAAGCCCCATTCTTCCTATCGCCGTCGATACGTATTAACCCAAAGACGCAGTGCCACCGCGACAATCGCAGCCGTAGGAATCGGTTAGTACAGCTCATCCCATCTTAGCCTCAGAGATACTCTTCTCAGAGATACTCTTCATATAGTTCCAACAAACATTTATCGTATCTGCCGTTGAGATTAGCTAACATCTTCTGCCCCCGCGTAAAGGATACGGCCTGGCAAAATACAGAGCGGCCAAGGCCGACAAGTGGCAGCAGGAACACAACGTCCAAAAGGAACAGCTGTTCCGCAGCGCAGAAACCATTCCAGCAACCGTGCCCATACCCGTACCCACGGCGGAGACCAGTTGGAATGAGGTTGTAGAGAATGCTTACGGGGATCGCACGAGCCTTAAAGAGCTCGAAGCTGCCATCGCGGTATACGAGAAGCGGCAGAAGAACTAAAGCACAACTGTGTTGTCGACGGTTGTAACTATGTGTTTGGGAATTCGAGAATACTCTTCCCCGTCGGTGTTGTTATCTTTATGGGTGCGTTATGAGTACATGCGATTAGCAGGCGTCTAGGCAGGTTACCAGGTTACGTTAGGGTTATATGGCGGAGTTCCGGATGTCTTGAAAAGGACATGAGAGGACGGTGTGTTAAAAAGAGGGTTATTCTGTCCCTATTCCTATGAAGCTCGCCTCGATTTGGCGCCTTTGGTATTCTTATCCTAGGCTGCGACCGATATTAAATCTTTTACTACGTTTCTTGGTCAAGTCCAATATATCATGATTGTGAAAAGGCTGTGATTATTATCAATGGTAATGTAGGTTCCAAGATATGGATGTCCAAGATATGGATGCGTAGTCGATCTCTCTTTGCTTCTACCATGGTAAGCTGTTCAGGTAGGTATGTAATCATCATTAATGTAAGTGGGTAATGTGCCAACCATCAGCCAACCATGGCCCCAGGATGGATTCTATACCTCTTCTAGAAGATTTGCAATACGTATCGTCACTCCGCTGCGCACGTTCGGGATTCGAAGCTATGAATATTTTATAAAGGCGGATTTTACCCCTTAAGTCCTGACCGCTGGCCGGCCCGGCAAGATATTAAATATTAAACGAATCATTTCAGGTAGACACTAGTTAATGACGCTTACTCGTTACCAATTACTACCAATTACACTCGGAGTATAATTCAGGATCTACATAATCGCATGATTCCCCTTTTTGATTCATAAGGGACTTGAAGGGATATATATCTTACCGCTCACAGGAATTCGGAATTTACAATACTCGACCCCTATCGACTCATCTGACCTTACCGACTCCGCTCTCACTCGTTCGTGTATATAATTAACTCATTCTCATAGTATCCTACCTAGATAAAAAGCGCAATAAAGGGCACCATCGCAATGGCTGAGAACCAACCCACCAAGTATCGCGGCAACTGTCATTGTACCGCATACGTGTTCGAAGTTGACCTTCCAGAGGATATCGAAAATGGCCTGCAGTGTAGTTGCAGTTACTGTTGCAAGAGGGGTGCCGTCTTCCTGGCCCCGAAGAACAACAACGACATCAAGTTCGTGAAGGGCGATCCGGCCGCGCTGTCCAACTACAGCTTCGGAGGCGTCAAGCATCAGGTGAGTTGCATCGGAGGAAGCAAATAGTCTAAATGCGGAATTAAATCAAGAAAAATGTCAAGGTATTAGCTAACACCTCGGTTATAGTTTTGCTCAACCTGCTGTACTTTTCTGTTCCGCGTGGACGCGAAGAAATACGTAAATGTAAGTCCATACAAGCCTACCTACCTAAGTCTCCCCTTAACTACTAGGTATGGTATAAATAAATTCTAACAGTCTCAGTTGCGGGCACTCCAAAAAATCAAAGTATGGGATATAGGCACGCAGCCGTGAGTCGATCACCTACAGGTGCTTCCGTTAAAACGGTAGGAAGCTTAGCTTTTCCCCTTTACATATCACCAGGCTCGACGACGACAAGGCAACGCCCCCGGCGTGGAGCCCTCCTACATTCGACGGCCCGGAGCCCCCAGCCCAAATCGAGGGCGCAACGATATACACGGGGGGTTGTCACTGCGGAGCCGTCACTCTGGCTCTGAAGTCAAAGCCGATCGATAGCACATACGAGGGACTTATTATGGAATGCGACTGCAGCATATGCACTCGAGTATGCCCTTCCTTTCTCCCCTATTTCCTTTAATCCAGCAACATCTTTTTCTTATTCTCTCCCAAACAAACCCATACACCTATTCCATAGTCTCTATAATCGAATCATACCTACATACCTAGTATCTCACCGCTCCCCTCTCCATAGAACGCATACTGCTGGATCTACCCCAACAAACCACAGGTCACCATCGTAGGAGCTACAGAAATGGGATACTACTCGTTCGGCGGCGGCGTGTGGCGTAAGTCGTTCTGCCGGACTTGCGGGGTGCCGGTGCATAATAGAATCGAGGACTACACGCCGGCGCAGATTGAGGAGTTGCCTGTCGAGCAGCAGCAATGGGCTCGGGATCATCTCGACTGGTCGCCGGTTAACTTGCGGGTTATGGACGGTATTAATCTGGGCGAGCTGAACATTAAGCGTATTGATGGGTCGACAAGGTCTGGACCGCCGAAGCCGGGTAGTTACGTGGACCCTTGAGCGCAGTTGGTGTATGTTTCGATAGGCGTTGGATATTGTGGTGTGGGAGGTGTATGGCTGCGGTAGGCCTGAGAAAAAGTAGTGAAGTTTTACGAGAGAGGATCTTTGGCCACAGTCTACAGACTTAGATGGGGTGTCGAGATTTAATAGTCGGCCATAGACTTGATTTAGTGTTGTCTAACACAGTGAGTTGTCCATAATAAGTTTCGGTCTTTGAGTAAATATGTATAAGCGTATAGCAAAATATAGTAATTATCCTATACGCTATACTCGTTCATTCCTAGAATTATGTATTTTCTACAAGCAACTTATATGGTAGTCCACGGTAGATCATCGCATTTATTCTCGTAGCTATGCTTGGGATGTGTGAATCGATAAGTATAACCCTTCGTAGCTAAGAGCATCGTTTCTAGTCCTATGCTATTTCCAAAGTCCAAGACAATCTTATAAGTTTACGATAATCGAATCCGCGTCGAAAATCAAACGGCCAAGCGCGGTATTCTTATTGGCGCGCATATATCCATTAGTAGCCACGGAGAATATGTAATTCGTTGATGATGGTCTCTTTAGGTCCGATTAGGCAAGTCTTGGAGCCCGTAGCAAGCTACGTAGTTGTTTTGTGGAAATACCCTTTTATGGATTTGAAGAATTAGGTAAACTCTTCTGTTTGTATAAACGTCAAGCTGCTTTTAATCTGATTGTCGGGATTATACAGGAAATACTTTGGCAAGTCTACCCAGAACATAAATGTACATAGACAAAAGGTATTGTACATAGCAGCAGTGGGGGGTAGGAGGGGTAAAATAACGCCTTGCTAGCGTAGCCAGCTAGCGTACGTCAAGCAGGTACAACCGGCTTTAGGAGAGACTATATCGAATTCGTACAGGGCGATGTGGACTGCCATGCGTCATATCCCCCTTCTTTGTGTACAAACTTCAGGTACATATGCGTCTAAGTAATAGGAGATAGAAGTAACTAGAAAAAGTAGCCCGGATTATGTCACATACAAATACTAGACACATCTTCGCTAGTTATTTAGCCTCCTTTAGAACAGACATTACTCGTACATGCACTTAAACTTGAAATCTAGGCGCGAATAAACATAACAATGGCAGACCTTAAGCACACTAGGTGAGTATAAACTACTTCTCAACTTTGAGACAAGTATATACTAACTATAAACTAGCAAGACCTATACCCTCGCCTCGGGCGACAAGATCCCCGCCATCGGTCTAGGAACTTGGCAATCTCCCAAGAACGAAACTTCCAAGGCCGTAAAGCACGCCATCTCCGTAGGCTACCGATATATCGATACGGCTTTTGCCTACGGTAACGAAGCCGAGGTAGGCCAAGGAATCCGTGCTTCTGGCGTGCCTCGCGAGCAGATCTGGATCACTACTAAGCTTGACAACCCCTGGCATAAGCGCGTCGCCGAGGGTATCGACGCTTCCTTGAAAAACCTTGGTGTTGATTATGTTGATCTCTACCTTATGCATTGGCCCAGCTCGACCCGTCCCGACGACCTGAAGAAGCACTACGACGACTGGAACTTTATCGACACCTGGCGCGAGATGCAGAAATTGCTTGGTACAGGCAAGGTTCGCAACATTGGCGTTTCCAACTTCGGTATCACCAACCTCGAGAAGCTGCTAAACGACCCCTCTTGCAAGGTAAGTCTCTCTGCTTCTTCTATACGAAAAATAGGTAGGGACTAACGGTTCGTAGGTCAAGCCGGCAGTTAACCAGATCGAGCTCCACCCCAACAATCCCTCGCCGAAGCTGGTCGCCTACTGCAAGGAGAAGGGTATCCACGTCACGGGATATTCGTGCCTCGGCAGCACCAACTCGCCCCTATACAAGGATCAGACACTACTATCCATCGCCCAGAGCAAGGGCAAGACGCCGCAGCAGGTTCTTTTGCTATGGGGAATCCAAAACGGCTGGGACGTTATTCCCAAGTCCGTCACACCAGAGCGGATCGAGAGCAATTTTGCCCTCGACGGGTGGGAGCTGACGGAGGAAGAAATCAAGAAGCTCAACAGCCTGCCGGACCGCTTCAAGGTCTGCGGAGACGACTGGTTGCCGGTTAAGGTCTTCTTCGGCGACGACGAGTAACCTTTTGAAATTTGAAACTCCTGATAGAGACGACTTGGGTTAGAAGCCTGGCGCATTTAGACAGATAGATCTCTAATAAGTAAAATCGTAACACCATCGTCTTAATGCGATTTGATCGTGATTTGAACGTAATAGAGTCGTAGCCGTATTCATAACTTCCCCTTCCTAGCCTCCTCTTCTAGAACCAAAGCTACGCTCCTTCTCACTTGTTCTGCTAACGCTACCGCTTCGTCATCGTCTAATTCCTCGCGCACTCCGCGGCCAAACATGGTAAAGCTTTCCCTAAACCTCCCACTAGCACGTATCTCGGGCCGTGGGATGAGATGGTAGTGCACATGATTAACCACCTGCGCGGCTGCCGCACCGTTATTTTGGACAACGTTCCAGTCCTTGACCCCCGTGGCGCGCACGAGAGCCGCAGATAGTACGCGCAGGTAAACGCCTAGCTCGGCGGCTTCGCGAGACGTGACATCGGTTAACTTGAAGCGGTGGGCGCGAGGGCATAATAGGAGATGGCCCCTAGACAGGGGTAATATATCGAGGAAAGCGACGAGCGTAGGCGTCGAAAGGACGACGAAGGCCGGGGGCGCGAGTTGAAAAGGGTCGATAGAAGGGGAGTCTGCGGGGGGAGGTTGATCGGGAGGGAAAGGAGAATAGCTGGAAGATATGGAGCAGAAGGGACAAGGATCGGTAGCGGAGGGAGAGGCGCCGGGATCGAATGGTGGGATTATTTTGGGTTCCTGTTCTGCCATGGTGAAAGGAAGTTTTGATTCGGGTTTGCGGAAAAGGTAGGCGAATTCTAACGTGTCGATGACATTCAAGACGCTGTGTTGGGAATCGGTTTATGTGAATCAGGCTATAACGAAATAATGTATTTGGTAATGTAATGGGAAAGCAGACAAGCAAGCAGACAATCCAACGAATGCGCCGTATGCTGTGTAGTTTATAGGAAACAAATAAAAAGTGAAGAGAGTTGATGCCTCGGCGTGAGACTCGACATATTTCCAATTGGGAGATTATGCATGAGATTAGCTCCAATACATACAGACCAGCATTACCGCGGTATAGGCCGACAGGTTCCGTGTAACGCCAAGCCCCACATATAGCCGTCCCTCGCTTTTCGCATTTATGACTTTGTCATCATCGAATACCTATCCTTGTCCAATTCTGCCGCTTTTTTACTTTCCTACCGCCTTTTTTCTCAGTTGATTGTTAGTTACCTTACCTAGCCACTGAAAGTCGATCGATTCCGGCCATTGCAGTCATTCATTCTCACCCGTACCAACAAAAAAACAACTCCAACAGCCAAAGAAATAAATCTAAACGAGAGAAAACCCCCCCCTAAAACAAAAACGCAATGAGCTCCTCCCGCGAAAACTACCAAATCCCCTCCTCCGCCGCCGGCGCGGCTACCGGCGGTGCGGCCTCGGGCGCGCGGAGCAGCGCGTTCGACGTGGACGGCGGCGCGACCATGCACTACATCTGCGGCGACTGCGGCACCAAGTTCCCGCTGAAGCGCAACGACCCTATTCGCTGCAAGGAGTGCGGGTGCCGCGTGCTGTATAAGGAGCGCACCAAGAGGTAGATAGACTCCCCCCTCTTCTTGTCGTGTTTTTTGTTAGGGAAGGGATTTAATGCTAATATGATGGTAACAGGATGGTGCAGTTCGAGGCGCGGTAACGGGCTATACGGAATAAAACGGAATAGAACGGGATGATAGATACGCGCCTGATCCTTAATAGTGGAATCTGATGGTTTGGTGTCCCGTTTGGCTAGTCGCACCATCTCAAGATAGTTTCCTTACGCGGCAGAGATACCACATCGTGAACGACGCGTAGAAACAGGGCAGAAATCGTTCTTAGGGGTTCGACAGGATGTTCGGAAGCTGTCTGCGTCGCTACAGCCCATAGCATGTAACCTGGAGTTTGGGCGTTGGTTTACTAAGGGAACAAAGATATTCAAGTCTCAAGGAATCGAGCAAATCAAAAATTTGGTATCATTACGCCTATGCCCTCATGCGATCGTAACTCCCTAGACCCTGAAACCTTTGTACCCTATCATGTATAGTGACTAATAGTAAGATGAATCGCCTCCTTTATCCTCTTCTCTGCGTATGTAAATACTTGGCAAAGCTGGCATCGTCCATGACCGAATCTGCATTTGTCCCCGTCGCAGCCTCGTACCTAGCCTGTAAACCCTCGCGGTCCATCTCATCATCCACGTCGTCATCGTAATCATCTGCGTCCTTCTCGTCGCTATCATCCTGCATATCCTCATCGTCATCCGCTTTGGGTGGCTTCACAGCAGTATCCCTGGGGTTATTCACACCCATAGACATGCCCTTCATCATCTTGTCTAACTCCTTCTCGCGGGCCTTCTGCCTTTGGTCTTCGCGTTCCTGGCGCTTGCGCTCGAGTTCGGGGCGGTAGTCCTTCTTGAATTCATCCGCCTTCTCCCTTACGGCAGCGAAGAAGTCGTCGACGCCGGCTCCCGTCATGGACGAGACCCCTACGACGCTAAGGTGGGCGTAGAATTCTTCGAGCATCATGCTCATCGAGTTTAACAAGCTACTCATGTAACCACTGCCTGCGCCCTCGCCTTCGACGCCGCCAAACGCGTTGGAAGCCTCGTCGTTTGACAATGCGGCTTGGAAGGCGTCGTAATCCGTCATCCACTCCTTAGCAAATTCTGCGTCCTTGACATCCGTCTTGTTGAACACCAATATCATCGGTAGCTTGGTCTTGTATAGAATCGAGCAAGCGTATAGCATATTACTCATGAATGTGCTAGTCGAGGCGGTTCGAGGGGTATCGATGATGTACGCAATGACAGTCGGGAAGGTGGAAGCGAGGGACTCGAGGAGGATTTGGCCTGAGGCAGACCAGACGAAAACTTCAATTTGGCCGGCTGTAATAAGACATATAAGTCAGCAATTCTGCTGTTAGTTAATAAATCTTCATGTAGTAGCCATACGTGTATCAACAAGAATGTTCTTAATGGGCTTCTTGTTTGGGGTTTCTGGTTCTAAACTAGTCCTCTTCTCGAGCAACTTTAAGATCTGATCGACCTTTGTCGAGAATAGGTTTAGAGAGGTCAAAATACCGCCGTTGGGACCAAGGTTATACTGCTTCATGACTTCCTTGTAGTTCACCGAGTCGCGAATGTCGATATTGCTCTCGAAAGGAACATTAAGAACAGCCGGATCGAGGTTGATCACGTAGGGGGGTTCTCTCTGGCCGTGTAGATGTGCATTGATGCGTTGCATGAAGGTTGTCTTTCCAGATCCAGCCATACCCACGCACACGATGGCCACAGGTTCTGATGTTGCCGTTGAGGGCGCGGCAGCAGCGGCCGAGGTAGACTCGGACGTGGAAGAGGAGGCCATTCTCGTCGCGTATACTTTGGCTTGTAGATAATCTTTAGAGGATGAGAAATAGAAAGGATGAGAAATAGAAAGGATGAGAAATAGAAAGGATGAGAAATAGAGACGTTGAGATTGGTGAAGTGATTGCTTGATAATATTGATAAGTTACGTCCTTCTGACTTGAACAATTAAGTTGACGATTGCGGGGTGGTGGGGCAGATAGCTCTAGCTTTAAGGTTCTTGAGTTATCGATAGATCTACGGATTACCAGTTCCCGGTTTTATTGATTATTCACATATCGTTATGTGCATAAGAGACCAAGACTTACACCCACTACAACAGTCAACTTATCAATGGTAATTTAGCAGAATTACTTGAATTATTTATCTTCGCCTTGTTTAGTATCTTAAACCAATAGTAACTTATTTGAAGGGTTAGTTGCTGAAACAAAAATAAAAAGACCTGTTCATTCTGTATCTCAGGTCCAGGCACTTCATAACATCACGAACATCTATGCACCAAGAGCACAAAGCATATCGCAAAAACAAATATTTGAGGTGGCCGAATCTCTCATTTTCTCGCCCCAATGAGGGCTTGAGCTGTGATAACTATCCGCTAGGGACAGGGGCATTTTTGTTTTTGTTTTTTTACCTGTGCTAGTCGTCAAGACTAGATAGATCTTGTCATTTTGTCATGCCAGCAGCTTTCGTTAAGCGCCAGCGGAACCATTGCAGCTTCAGCAGTATTCATTCTTTCCGTTACCTTGCCACGCCCATATTTCTCTCTCCGGGGGTGGAGGATACTATATGGGCGACTGTGTGTATGTTTATTTTTCTTCCTCTCTGCTTGCTTGAAGACATAGAAGATGGACGGCGGCGAAGAGGCGCGCCAGCCTGTGGTGCGTTTTCCAATTTGTCCTCTCGGCTGCTCTTTGCGAGTTTTATTCCCAAAAAATTGACAATCTGGTAGAGTCGAGATGGTATCGTGGCGTCGTATTCGTCTGTACTCGGTGTGGAAATTAAAAAGCAACGCTGTAAAAAAGACAAATCCGCAAAGTGTGTTGCCGCAAACCTTTCCTCTTTCCTGGTCTCTTCACCGTTGTGCATTGTTTCTTTTCTTTCTTTGACTTTTCGCTCAGCGAAGAAGCTAAGACAAGTCGACTGAAAGTAATCCATAACGCCTAGTTCAAAGACCGATAAAGACCATGGGGATATTTTGTGAATATTGAGTTGAGTTGGTAGTGTTGTTCCTTTGGGTCATCAGAAATAGAAAAGTCACAACGAGTGATAACATGAGCAAACCGTGTACGTTCATACCCCCTTACCTCTCCCTGATATAAAAAAAAACTTCATCAAAATGGTCGGCCAACCTCGATGAGAAGTGGAGTTGTGGGTTTTGTCCCAAATGGTGTTCCAATCTGATGATAATACCCGGGAGAGATTGAGTTGAGGGAAGAAACCAGAGACAAGGAAAAGCAGAATCATTCAACTCCGTGACCGTTCGTTCCTCGCCAAATTCGAGACACATTCCAACGTCATATTTCTCCCCAAGTGACCCCGATATTTAGTGGATGTATATTGTTAGTGCAGATCCGAGAGTTCTCTAGATCGTCTTAGGCGTTCGAGCGTTGCTCATTTCCACGACGTCGTCGAGATGGTTGCACATGGCCACGAATAGGTCAAAGAAAAGTTTGCCGCCCCGTTCCATCTCCGTCTGCATGGTTCCGCTCCTCTTAAATGTCTTGCGACATCGGATAATTAGGGCGAGATAGTGAGCGCGTAGTCGCGAGTCCGTGTCCGGCGTGTTGTCGTAGGCGTACTGCGCCGATCTAAGGATCGTTCCGACATCGATGCCGCTCTGTAGGCCTTGCTTCCGAAGAGCTAGGCGCTTGAGCTCTTCGAGTCCGTACCTATCGGCGGCGCAGTACACGACGGTATCCCGCAAGAGATATTGTCCCACGCTGGCGACGTGCATTGTGGCCTCGACGGCTCCGCGGCCAGCTCGGTTGTTTTCTGAAGGGTCGGGTGATCCTACGGCATCCTCGAGCTCCCAAGAGTTTCGGTGCTTGTTATGTACCAAGCGTGGGTAGTAGTCACCCTTATAGAGGTACTCGAGTACGGCCGAGAAGATCTCGGGTTCTTCGTCCGGAAGTGAAATCCTCTTGCTCTGCGCCTCGAGGTATTGGTCCCGGCACGCCCGCTCGAAAAAGGGCGATTGGCTTAGGACCTCCTCGTGGGCCGCGAACAGTCTTGCTTCTCTCCCGATCGTCAATGTGACGATAGGAGAATTGAGGGTCCTTTTGGCGGGGAGGATCTCCTCGATCGACCGCTGCAGTTTCGCTAGTTTCTGAGGATCCCGAACCTTATTGTTGTTGTTGTTATTGTTGTTGCTGTTGTTAGACTTCTTCAGCCTCGCCGACTTGTCGACTCGGTCCCCGGATCGGAACGAGCGTTTGAACATGGCGGCGGTTGTTTTACGGAGGGGCGAAAGAAATCGAGACAGCGTGGTTGTGTTGGTAGTTTGGTTCGGGATAATTGATAAGGGAAATTTATTGAAAAATTCCCCCTTCTGAGTATAAATTGACTAGAGAGTGACGAAAAGAGTGTAGAGTAATTTCGGGTTTCCGTGGACGTAGAGAGTGAAGGGGTTGGTGAGTTTTGACGCACAAAAAAGAAAAGGATTTACAGGAGTCCAGGCAGTCTATCCCAGAGTCGATTCGAAAATAAGTGAACGAATGTATCTGGAGATATCCTTGAGGTAGCTTTGCGACCCTGATGGTTGTGGTGGGGGGGAGGGAGAACAAAAGGAAAAAGGGGGGCAGAAATGGAAGAGGGGTGTTGGTGATATTTATATTTTATTCTATATTTTAGCCGCATACCCTCCATTACGGGGGACTTGTTCAATTCAGTTCAAACCGGCCACTCTGCCGCCTTGGGGTTCAACTCTTTTGCTGTGGTAAACTTGTTCCTCCAAGCTTCCAAGCCCCCAAGCCTCCAAGCCGCCATCCCACCCACCAATTGCCAATCCATTGACAGCGCGGCAAAGAAGACCCTTGACCCCTGACCCGCATGTTGATTCGTTGGGATAGACCTCAGATCTCCGCCCCGATTTGCGCTCATGGCGCCCTACTGCAGATAATATGAGTCTTAATCGTTAATGGATAGATTTGGTGGCCGGGGTGGTCGACCTTTAAATCTTGGTCAGCTGCGATAAACATGTACCTAGATGCAGCATGACAAGTCACCACCCCCTGTTCTGCCTAGGTCCGCCCAGGATGTACATATGCTAGTGACTCCAGCAGTTCGGAAATCCGAAAGGGTACGTCGTACTATGGTACCAGGCCAAAATAAAACCACCCTGTTAGGTACCGCCAGAATAGGTTAGGCAAACCACCATACTAAATCAGTATTAGTTTACCTAAGATCTTTTAAAAGTACATTTAATACTTGAAGAAATAATTAATATTTTGACATTTTATACGTTTTATGTATAAGAAAAAAACACTAACATGATCTCTAGATAGCCTCAAGCCCCGCGTTTTGATTTATAAGTGCTTAAAGTGTTGAATTTTCTGTGTTTGTTACTGTACGCATATAAGTATGCCTTGAGGTATGTATAACAAGTCAAGAAGCAGCAACACAGGCCACACTTTAGCGCGCGACTTGTGACAGGGGTTTTACTTACCCATAATACCATAGTAAAGAACCGGCAAGTTAGCACGTGGCGATGCTTCAATGTGAGGTACGGTGATAATGGTAATATCTCCGATAATTTATCTTAATAAGACAGAAGTTATTCCAAGATAATAGAATGACTATATGCTAAACCTCTGTGTTCCCTCGAGATATTGCATTCATAACGCGGGCAAATAGACTTTCAACGATCATCTCATCGAATCCTCACGGCTACGTTGGGTCGAATGAGATGGACGGCGCGAAGCCAACTTATCATATTGCAGTGCACTGCAGTACACTGCCTCGAAGCTCGATAGTTGGCGCATTCCTCTTCGTGACTTAGGCGAATAAGCGTCTACCCATGATGTTTCTCGCTTAAGATGGAAAACGTGTAAAGCAAACGGGAACGAGTTGAAATGTTTCGTTTAGCGTGGGCGGCAGCGGGCGTGGGGTTGAAATACCTAAATACCTACCATACCGGTAAAATATAGTTTTAAAATATAATATTTTTAAGAAGGAATAATTCTTATATAAAGAATTATTATTAATATAAAAATTATTTTTTTTTATAAAATATTACGTTAATTAATTTATATAAAAAATATAATATAAAAAATAATTTTAAATTTAATAATTATTATTATATTAAAAATTATTTTATATTTATATAATTTATTATAAATTATTATTTATA